GTAAGCTGGCATTTGGAAAGCCTGATCCAAGTGGGGGGATTTAATTTGACTGGCATTTTAGGCCTCTTAATTATCTGCTAGAAATGAATGGTGGGACGTCAGTAGGATAAATAAATGCATGTTATTTTGACGGCCTAGATTAGCCAGTAAAACAGAAAAGCCCAACCAGGCTTGCTTTCTCCTAACCACCCAATCAACTTTGGCAGATGCGCACAAGTTCTCCAGCACTGTTGCTGCCTTCAACGTCACCTTTAGGATCTCTGCTTCCACCTCCAAAGGAACTCATTGGTTGCAGGATCCAACAAACCAATTCCTTTGGAGGTCTCAGGGACCAGTGGTTTGTTCTTCCAAGCTTTCGGACTTGTGCTGGAGCCCATCCTCGGGGAACACATTCTGGAGAGGGAGAAGTTCCCTGGGGATGGGCTCCAACAAGAGTCCAGAAGCTTGGAAGAACAAATTTCTGATCCCGGGGATTGACTCAGATTGGATCCTTCAACATTATCCTGGGGCATTTATATTGCCTTCATTCCCCAATTCATCCATCAAATATTTCCATCAATTTTCCAATATCCATCCATCCATCCTTCCTTCCTTCCTTCCTTCCTTCCTTCCTTCCTTCCTTCCTTCCTTCCTTCCTTCCTTCCTTCCTTCCTTCCTTCCTTCCTTCCTCGCTCCATTTCCTTCCTCCCTTCCTTCCTTCCCTCCCTCTTCCATCTCCTTCCTTCCTCCCTTCCTCCCTCCCTCCTTCATTCCTCTTTTCCTTCCTCCCTCCCTCCCTCCATTTCCTTCCTCCCTTCCTTCCCTCCCTTTCCCATCTCCTTCCTCCCTCCCTCGTTCATTCCTCTTTTCTTTCCTTCCTTCCTTCCCCTCTCCCATCTCCTTTCTTCCTCCCTCCCTTCCCTCCCTCCCTCATTCATTCCTCTTTTCTTTCCTTCCTTCCTTCCTTCCTTCCTTCCTCCCCTTCTCTTCCCTCCACTTCCCTTCCCTCATCTTTCCTTTCCTTTCCTTTCCTTTCCTTTCCTTTCCCTTCCTTTCCCTTCCCTTCTTTGGAGATGCATGCTTTCCGTATCCCTAGCCGATTTGAGCATGGATAACCAGAGGCAACCACCTCTTCCAAGGTAGCTAAGAGAGCCAAGCACAAACTGCTTCTGGCCTGCTAAGGGGATGCCAATAACATCTCTCCAGAGTGCCAGAGAGCAGGACTCTGTTTTTTCGATGCTCATTCAATGCCCCACAAATGGAATCACAAACCGAAACGATGAGTTTTACATCCAGGTTAATAGAGGGGGAGACCACCGAAGAAGGAAATGTCCGAGACTGGAAGTATTCCGTGCAATAATAATATATAAAAATATAAAGGAGGAGGTAAAGAGAGGCCCCAATATTTTATTTTATCATTAATTGTGGGTGAGACGGACTGTGGTTGATAAATAAAACAAGATTGACACGACGTTCCTTATTACTGCTGCCCACCCTGCCGTTAATGGAAATGTTAATAACCAGCGCCAGGTTGTTGTGACAGATGCTTGAGCTCATTATCAGAAATTCTTATTTACCGCTCCATTAAACGATAGAATCACACACCCAAAAGAGGTGGGGGGGCGAGGAGGGGGGGAGAAAAGGGAAAAAAGAAACAATTCCATAAAACTAACTGGGAAGAATTGGAGCAATTGCATTGGTCATCCAAAACATAAATAGATAGATAGATAGATAGATAGATAGATAGATAGATAGATAGATAGATAGATAGATAGATAGATAAGATAGATAGATAGATAGATACCTTATTAAGTGAATTGACCATACCAAATACATAAAACTCCTAAAAATATAAAGAAATACAAAGAAAACAATAGGACATGTTCCTAACAAGACATCAACCCTACAATTAACCCCAGTTTGATCTAGATATTATGCTCTCTTTGTGATGGCCTTTGAAATAAAGCATGCAAACCATCAATAAAAAGACTTGGCATGCATGACACGTTGGCCCTTTGCAAGGTAGGGAAAAAAGGTTAAAAAGCAAAATGCAAAAAAAAACCATAGCCATTAGGAGGGGAGAGGAAGAGGAAGGAAGGAAGGAAGGAGAAAGGGAGGGAGGGAGGAGAGATGGAGGGAGAAAGGAAGGAAGGAGAGAGAGAAAGAAAAGAAGGAAGGGAGGGAGGGAAGGAAGGAAGGAAGGAAGGAGAAAGGGAGGGAGGGAGGAGGGAGGCAAGGAGAAAGGAAGGAAGGAGAGAGAGAGGAAGAAGAAGGGAGGGAAGGAAGGAAGGAGAAGGGGAGAAGGGAAGGATTAAATGATAGTGATGATATTAATTAAGTGACTATTCTTTTATGAACATGTTTTCTCAAGACATTTCAGTTCCTTGGGGCGCTCACTGAATACACCTACAGATACTGAAAATGACAGATAGATTTGATGCACGAGAAAAAAAAAACGTTCATCCCCCTCCTCTCCAGATATACAAAATGCCCCCTCTCTATCCCACCTTTTCTCTGAGCACAGCATGAAAGCAACCCCCCACTTTCTTTATCTTTGCACAAACCCAAGAAATGAATTCGGCTTTTTAACGCTGGTTGTAAGAGCACATCTTTCCCTCTACAGAAAGGGTTGTCGGCGCGTTCTGGTTTTTCTCTTTGTCCGTGGCGAGAAAGAAGCATCCATATGGATTTTTCTTAAATAACTTTTAATCCCGAAAATCTTTTTTTTTCTTTTTCCGGTGGATAAAAAAGAGACATCCCACCCCCTGCAGGGGTGTTACACAAGTGGGAGAGGAAATTGCTTCTTTTCCACTTTGCCGGCTGGATTGACAGCTGGGGGGCTCATCGATAGATAATGATTCAAAGAAAGTGAGATGAATTAAGGGCTGATTTTCAAAACAAGAAGCCCATCGATTGCAGCCTTGTTCCCAAACTGGGTGCCTACAGCACAAGTACATCTTTTTATACGCTTATTCTTGCGCTTCTCGGTTCAGATGTGCTCCAGCTGTTTGCTAAGCTAAAAGGCTGATACTCGCTTTTCATCAACGAAACAGCCAGGTCTTCAGAAGAAGGATGAGTTTTTGGGTTGGTTTGGGTTGGTTTGGGGTTTTTTTGGGTCAACATGCTGCTGAATTTGATGGGGAGAGCAACTCATTTCTCTTTTCAAGGAAGCAGAACCTTTGGAAAGATTTCTGGGGTTCTTCGAAGAACAGCGGGGTCCTGGTTGATGCTGACCACTTGGATTGAGGATGATGGTTTACTGTAGAAAAGCAGGCTGGGCCAGGAGGTGGGGTTAAATGTGCTATCAGTTTGGAGTCATTGCGTTGCCACAAAAGACCCAAGTCCAGCACCCCATGAATTCTGTTGACCCTTATTTACTAGTGCCAATTTAGCTTTGACTGCTAATTGACCAGATTCTTATGTCTAGGTAGCAATAATAAATTCTTCAGTGCTTTGAACTCAGCGAGTGTTCCTGGTTCCTTTGCATCTAACATTTATAGACATAATACTATTGGTATGTACAGTAGTTTACAACAGCAATCTCTCCCCTCCAAAGGATGAACAAGTTTTGGTTCTCCAAGCCTTGCTGGACTACAACTTCTATTGGCCATGATGTGGAAACAGCTGGCTTTTGTAAAGCATAATGTATCCATGCTCCATCCATGTTCAGGAGCATCATTCTTTGGTGAATAGACAAAGAGGCAATTTTTTTTCCCCCAGCTCCTCTGCTTTTCCGAGGTGTGGTGGACTCCATAAAACTTTATCTCACCTAGTCTACTTGCACATTTTTGGAGATTAAAATGGCACCACCCCAAACAAGTGTGAGCCGTTGGAATCAGAGCAATTAGTTAATTGACTTGTTTTATCTACACAATTTAACATAGTTGCCTCTTCTTCGGGGAGCAGTTTTGGAATCAAAGCTGTTAATCAGGCAGTTATTAAGGAGAGCAGAGACAAATCCAAAGCCTTATCTAGGCAACAAGGAAGTTCCTGGGTAATTTGCCCAGGAATTCTCTTCATCATTGCCTAAAATAGTCCTCATGGTGGGAGATGGGGGACTTTCTGAATTATTTCAGCAGCCAGGAAGTGCAAAAGAAGAAGTGCTATTTCTATTAATAATATCAGAAGGGTAGAATATGTTCTTAAATGCAAATTCAGATGAAGGTTGATCCTGTGACTACACAGATATGAGAAACCAACCTTTGGACATTTAGAAATACTTTTGTAGGAGGTGACTGGGTTGAGCCCAAGGGAGGGGTCAAGAGTGTCATCAGTCTTGAGTCCCTTTGTGTCCAGCCCATCTTGAATCCCATTGACGCTTATCTACCGGCAATGCCCTTTGACCATTAGTAGTTCAGGTTCTTGTAGAAAGCTTAAGTTTGCAATAAGCCTGTCTTCATTTGAACCACGTTGGCTCCCGGTTTCCTGCGCTTGACAAATTTACATAGACTATGTAGAGCAGTGGTTCTCAACCTATGGGTCGTGACCCCATTTGGGGTTGATCGACCATTTCACGGGGGTCGCCAAGAAAGGCTGTCCGCCATTTTTTTTGTCCGCCATTTTTTTGTCCGCCATTTTTTTTGTCCGCCATTTTTTCCCCTTTTCCGGCGGGTGCCTTACCTCCCTTGGGCTGGGCCAGCTGGTGGTCACCCTGCTCCGTCTCTGCCGCTTGCCAGCTACGCCTTGGCCGGCTCAGGGGGCGGAACCACGCATGCGTGGCACTCCTGGGCAGGGAAAGTCCTCGACTTACGACCGGTTGGGTAGTCCTCGACTTACGACCGGTTTAGTCCTCGACTTATGACCGGTTTAGTCCTCGACTTACGACCGGTTGGGGGTCGCGGCATTAAAAAGGTTGAGAACCACTGATGTAGAGAAAAATGTCTCCAAGCAAGGACTCAGCTTGTCGGGGGGACATGGCAAGGCTCTCAAATTTTATGAGCGGTGTGAAGATGGGGTATCTTCATGGTGATCTGTGGTTCCTCTCTTGTCTTCCATCTGGAGGTGAGGAAGGAAGATCAATAGGCTTCTGAGGTCCACTTGGACCAACCCTGGAACCCATGAGGCTGAATTCTAGGCAAAAGTGAAAAATTCTGTGTGAAAGTGATTACCAGTCCAGAAAAAAGTGGCTTTCCAGTAGGAACCAGGCAATTTCAAAGCTATTCCTTTCCTACTTTCTTTCTGCTGGCCACAGCTGAGGCTGGGGAGGACTTGACCCGCACCCTACTGGACAAAATCAAATTCCTTTGGTGTGGAGGCGCCTCCTAGCTGCACAAGATCACAAACCCCAGCGCTTAACCAAGAGTTAAACAAGGAGCCCTACCTCCGCCACACAACCCATTGGAGTCATGCTGAGTGCTGCTCGTGAGTCATATTAACAGCTCAATGAGCTTTTAATGAAGCACTCAGCTGCTGCAGCAGCCGGACCAAAGCAAATGATTGCTGTGCATTTCCAATCTTATCGGCGAGGAATTAAGGGTGGCAGATAAAAGGCTTCAACAAACGTCTCAATGGGAATGTGTTTTTTTGGTGTTTTAAGACTGCGGACTTGCAAATGGGTCCGGGAGCAGAATGTGGACTCCGCAAACCTTCTTTATAAACCTGGTGGACATTGGAGGACCTTAAGGAGCTGCAAGTTCCCTGGGATCACGCAGCTGCCCTTAGGTAGGTACTCTCAGGTCCTGGGGGGGAAAAAGATGCATTAATTTAAGGCAGGGCTGTCCAACCATGGCAATTTGAAGACTTGTGGACTTCAACTCCCAGAATTCCCCAGCCATCCATGCTGGGAGTTGAAGTTGAAGTCCACATGTCTTAATAAAGTCTCAAAGTTGCTAAGGTTAGACACCCCTAGTTTAAGGTGTTCCCAGGAGATGCTGAACGCACACTTCATTTTGATGTGCATAATGTTGTCTGAATGCAGGGTGCTGTAAATCTGAGCACACTGCACGTTGCCACTGCAGAAGGAGATCAGGGAAGCTTCTGTTTAGAAAAGATTAAAATGGAACCGAGGCACAAAAGTCAATTTTTATTTATCCGTCTCCCTTTTCTTTCCCTAAGTGACTTTCCGCCTTCCTCCAACTTTCCCCGAGAATCCCGCGCTCACGTTCATTATCTAGGCTGCTGGCAGATGTCCTTGGACCACTTTCCGCTCCTTCGTAGCCAACCTGTTCCACCACAGACCCTCTGGGGAAATCAGGGGACATTATTTTCTGGGCTCTGTCCTGAAAAGCAAGCCTCCTGCAATTTATTTATTTGATTTGTCTCCTGCCTTTCTCATCCCCTGGCTGACAAGAGATAAAATAGGGCTTTTTTAAAGAAAGCCAACAAACAGATGCGCAATTGATGTCGAAGGTTCCTAGGTAGGAAAACAAGTCAGGGAACGATAGCCCCAGACTATTTCCACAACCACGCGGGTTTGCCAGCAATAGGGAAGCAAATGATTGCAGTCAATGGGAGGACGACATCTTTTCTTTCGGCTCGTTCAAGACGAAGACAGAAGAGGCGAAGTCGGTAAAATGAGGACCCAGATTGCTGGGGGAAATATCTATAAAACTGCTTAGAGAGGGCTATAAAGCACTGTGAAGCAGTATATAAGTCTAAGTGCTATTGCTATTGTTCATTTTTGGCTGTTTTGCACAGCTGCCCTTGTGGTGACCAGATATAGTAGTGTTGGCTTGTGTCATCAGTTTCTGGGCTACCTGTAGTGGAATTTTGCCCCCAACTGTTGCAACCCAGTCTGAGGAACCTCAATAGAAGTCCTTCTTCACTGTTCATTTGTTGGAAAGGCGTTCTAAGAAGACCAGCAAAAGGAGCAGGTGTAAGATGTATTCTACTCCTTTTTGTATTCCTTTGGAAAGCATGGCATAGATCATTGTTCAACGCATGTAGAATTCTATCTACACGGTTTGGCGAGTGGAAGATGAACCGATTGGAAAATTCTACCAGCGGTTCCTCGAGTTTTAGAAACCGTTCCACAGAGAATAGGGCTGATTAATTTATGGAGTTTAGGAAGACGACAACAGAGCATTAGCTCAATGTTTGAAATGAAAAGGTCTGGAAGAGGTCAGGCCTGAGACGTCTCGAAATTTAATGAGAATATAATGTAAGTAGTGCTAGAACCTGACATGAAATCTTTCGTGTTAAATTCAGATGGTCAGCGAAATTTAAGAGAAAGAAGATGGATGCTGAAGGTACACATAGAATTTATTGTGAGGATCTTCCTCTAAAGGAAAGACATGAGCTTGTAACTGCAGCCACGAAAGTAGGTACCTTCTAGAGCAAAGAGACCCAACAACCATGTGTGAACCTGGCCAGACTGGGAAAAGGCAGAGGATGTGATCCACCACGCAGAACATAATGACATTTTGGCAGCCTAATTGATGCCTGACGGACCTCTGCCTTCCATATCTGATACCTGAAGGCCACCATCAGTGATGGGCAAGATAGCATTTGGCTTGGTGGATCACAACCTCTTTAGAACTTCATCTGTGCTAGACCATTTGGGAAAGGCAGCAGCGGGAGCCCTTTTATGAAATCGCCTGAAACCTCTCTCTTCTACCATCACCCCATTAATACCAATATTAGCCTGAGCAAATTAACACCAGATATTTATTTCTGAAAGACAACTTTTCATTTATATGTATAGCGTGCTCCCATTTCTCCTCCTCTCTGAGGTTCTCAAGATGGTTACCTTGCATGCTTTCAGATTTCCGCTTACCTGCTTCTCCAACGTAGACTTCCACAGGGGCGCTGGCCGGGCTTTCCCCAATAATGTTATATGCTGTCATGACCACTTCATACCTCTTGTACTTTTTCAGCTCTAGAAATGTAAATAATTTGTATTACCAGCTAGTACCCTCTTTAACGATCCCCAGTAGAATTTTCCCATCTCTTGTCCTCCTGAAGCATACCAGGGGATCACCGTTCCAAGAAGTGGTTGAACATCCTTTACTTGCAACTCCTAAGATGATACTTTCTAGAAAACAGACAACTGGACCAGCGTCTCTCAACCTTGGTAGCTTGAAGATGGGTGGCATTCTAGGAGTTGAAGTCCACACGTTGGTTGGGGAAACTCTGGGAGTTGAAGTCCATTCTTCTGAGAGTTGGAGTACACTCATCTTCAAGTGCCAAGGTGGAGAAAATTTGCCCCAGATGATTAAAAAAAAATATCTTTGAGAGATGGCCCGCTTTGAATATGCCAATCTTAAAGTTGCCTATATCTGCAGACTCTCGGATGAGACATCCATGGGTGGGCCTCTCCTTACCATCCTGCAAGTTATTACTGGAGGAAGCTGTCTGGGCTGATGGTGGAAACTGCCTGATAGAGAACTTCATCGTTTGATTCATCAGAAGATCTACCCAGCTGGACGACGGTCCAAATGGGTCTTCTGTAAACAGCTCCAGTGCTAAGCTTGCCTCTTAAAATAAAGCCACCGTCAAAGCCACAGTACCCAGCTTGGTATTTTGGGGGGAGGAGGGAGCGATGGAGGATTTATTAGAGAGTAAAAAAAAAAAGCATAAACTTGGGAGATTTAGTGGAGTGAGACTGCAATGTCTTTCTTGTGCTGCAATCACGGCTCTGGAAAATCACCAACACCGACGTTCAATTGCAACTCTTTGTGAGCTAAAACAAGGAAGCTGCACTGACAGATACAAGAAAGGAATGACAGCACATTGCAACACATTAAAAAAACAAAACCAAACCTGGATAGGGAGAGGAAAGAAAGTGTGTGCCTGTGTGTATGTGTGTGTGTGTGAGAGAGAGAGAGAGAGAGGGAGGGAGGGAGAGAGGGAGAGAGAGAGAGAGAGAGAGAGAGAGAGAGAGAGAGAGATTCTGGCTGTGGTGTAATTAATAACCAAACAAGCATGATAGCAAGAAGACCAAATTTCATGCCTTTTACCCCAGAGGCCTTTGCGTCATCCTTGAAGTTCTGGGGATTTGCATATTCAAATCAGGCCACCTATCTTTACGGAGAATATGGATCACCTGAGGAAGCCCACCAGCAAAATACAACTCGGGAGCTTTGCTGGAAATCTCCGAGAACAGGGCCGGATTTCCGTTCAGAGGCGTTTTACTTGCAAATTCGTTTTCGGTTTTTTTTCTTTCCTGCGACGTGTGAACTACCCTTCAGCTCTGCCAGCACCACCGTTGCCTTTCATTGCAGACTCTCATCCCAGGAAAGGCTCTGCCAGATTGATAATGAGGCCCTCCTAATTTCAGATTTCCTAAAGTGCTCGCAAATATTCTGCCCACGTAACTCAGTCAGACACCGGTGTGTTGCCTGCCGGTTCCAGGTAGACAGACAGCTGATGGTATCTAATTTACTGCAATGTAAAACAGTCGTATTATTTATTTTGGTGAACTATATAACATCCTTTGACTGTCAAAATACCCTTAGACTTTGAGGGCGGTCAATTATGTGTTCCTGAATAAAAGAGGGGGGTGGAACGAACGGTTCCTACACTACATAAAGGTTCGTTAGACGTCCTTTTACCGTAAACCCGTACCGTCATAAACCCCTCCCCCCGATCCAGGGGGAAAGCTAGAGTAGAATTGTAATGTGGTGGGCAGAGCTTATGGACGTTTATGAGGGATGGAAGCTGAGAAGGTTCAGGGGTTAGTATGAAAACAGAACTGGAGATGCCGGCAGTATTACGGGGTGGGGAAAACTAGGATTCTCAAGAACCAGAATCTAAGTTGTAGAGGACCACCTAGCTCAAACACAGCACCTGCAACACACCCGGTTCACCCAAGGTGACTCTTTTCCAAGAGGACACTTTTCTGGACCACGCACCAAGCTTCCCCAGCACCTTTTAATTTGGTCCTGAAGTCTTAAAGGTTTCCCCTGTCCAGTCATATTTGACTGTAGGGCAGAGGTAGGCAACCTTGGCTCTTTTATGACTCGTGGACTTCAACTCCCAGAATTCCTGAGCCAGCCATGCTAAGGGGAAAGAGAGAGGTTTCCAAGCTGAGCCATGCTGGCTCAGGAATTCTGGGAGTTGAAGTCCACGAGTCATAAAAGAGCCAAGGTGGCCTACCTCTGCTCTAGGGGATGGTGCTCATCTCTGCTTCCTAGCCGAGGGAGCCAGTGTTGTCTGAAGACATTTCCATGATTATGTGGCCAGAATGACTACATGCTGAGGAACGCTGGTACCTTCCCACCAAAGTGGTACCTATTTATCTACTTGCATCTGCTAGATGGACAGGAGCTGGGGCAAGGACGGAAGCTCACCCTGTCGCATGGCGCCCGGGTCTCGAACCCGGCTCTCCAGCTTTCCCAGCCCCGCAAGGGGTTACATCAATGAGTACTCCTAGTTAACTTACTTGTTAATTCGTAGGTTGTTAAGTCTGAGCTGCTGTTCACCGCCTTGAAGATGCTTTGGGCTATTCAAGGAAAGCAAAGAATCAGAAGATAAGGTTAGCAATTATTGCCAATTCCACATGGTTCCAGCAGTTTGAGGTGATGGTGTTGGGTGCAGGCAAAGTTCAAGGCAAAGACCCCTCCAGCCCACCCACCCCCAGCCCCCTGGCTATATAAGTCAGCCCCCTTCCCAGAGAACTTGCTGAAAGATCCTCAAACTGGAGGGCTTACTCAGTTATCTTACCGCACAGAAAGAAATTATGGAGATGGATGCTATAAAGCAATGAGAAATGTCTGGAGAATGACTGAGCGAACACAACTCTCTTCTAAGGAGAAGAGAAAGAGGAGATTTCTCTAGAAGCTTTCTATTCTTAGGCCTTCCAATGAGGAGATAGAATCCCTCCCTCCCTCCCTCCCTCCCTCCATCCCTCCATCCATCCATGTTCCTAGCCATCCCTCCATCTCACCATCCCTCCATCCAAATCCTCACTCCCAGTTATTACACTGGTGGTTGCTAAAGTCTCGTGGTTGTGTCCAATTTCTTTAAAGGACTTGAAACACATATATTCCCAATTCTAGCCTTTTGGTTCCCACTGCAGTCCAGCTTCTTGAGGACACAGCAGACACAGTTGGGACCCTGGTATGGAAGAAGGTCTGGTCTTCTCTTCTTCCTTGCTCTTCACTCCTTCCTTGCCCCCCCCCCCAAGATTCATTTGATGTACTAGGAATGCTAGTTCTAGATATCACATTTACAACTAAGACTCAAACTGGGGGGGAAAGCAGAAAGCAAGAAATAAGAGAGGTTGGATAAAAGAGAGAAGAGAGAAAAGAGAAAAAAAAGCCCAATGGATCAGTTGCCAGTCTGACAGCCAGCTAGTAGAATCAATTTGAGAGCATGCACATTTTTTTCCATTCTCCATCAACTGTTTTAATATTTGTTCATCTGATTGCAAATGACAAACCATTCATCACACATTAAAACAGCCCAATAATTGGCTCCATACCTGTAATTTCTGCTCGCAAAGCTGATGGGTTTTTAAGGACTTTGGATTCTGTTCCTGGTCCAGCGTTTTCAGGTTCCAGCTCCCGATAATAAATACGATATCCCAAAAGAAGGCCATTCAGACTCTCTACTTTTGGAGGCTGCAAAAAATGCCCATGAAAAGGGTTAAGTCGCAACATGTCTCTGATAATTCACAAAAAAGTGCCACTAAGAAATACAAACATATGTATTTCTAGACAATGATGATATATCTGGGTGTTGGTTCAAAATATTTTGCTGCATCACATGCTCAAAACTTCCATTTGGAATATCTTGCCAAGTTGAGATGCCGTGGAGAGATTATCCATCGACCTGGACAGGACATCTCTAGTGATCTTTGGAGTCAAGAGACAAGCTGAGATGAATAGGCCAGGATCAATGGGGAGGATGCTGAGGTACAAACTGCAATCTCAGTCTTGAAGAGTTCTTTGGAGGACTCTGAAAGAAGCTCTCCTCAGCCCAACAACGTTCACCCACTGGTGTCAGGGTGGTGTTAAAAGGCAGGAGAAACGAGGTGGATCCCTCTGGAACATCAGTTTCCTCAAGGAACAGCAGCCATCTCCTGTCTTCTGACCTAGAAGACTTTAACAGGGGTACTTAATCTTTGGAGCGTTCAGATCTTTCTAACTCTTCCTAGGTCTCTCCGTTAAAGGAGACGACTGTGTCCAATAAGTAGTCCTAAATCGATCCGTTCGAGTTCTTCAGTTAGTTCCACTGTTTCAACCGAAAGGAAGTTGCAAGGTCGGTGTTCCGACGAGGACTCCATTAGACGAACATCTCAAACTTTACAGAGTTGATCTCTCGGGGCCCAGTTCTTATCTGGGGGTGGGAGTAAGGAGCTACATCATTAATCTGCAGCAGGCCTTAACTTTGATTTATTGTTCTCCGTCCCCTCATTTCAGCTCGGTGGTCTCCAGAACATACCTTTTGTACACTGCTAAGCCATTTGCTTGCGGCCATGTTTTCTGATAGTCTGGGCGAGTATCCCTTATGTTCACTTAATTAAAAACTAGATATGAAGGGGAGGGGGGTTGAGAAAAGGTGATTTGATTAGAATCTAAGGGGGAGAATACACCATCATACCAATGGACGAGTCATTTTCCATAATCAAGGTTGTGATATTGAAGGCCCCACAGCATTCCCCCCTCCCCTCCAAATTATTCTCCTTCCTGTCCTTCATACCAACTTCCTTGAGGCATATCATCTGGTCCACATCTCAAAAGCCAGCAAAGGGTCTCTCTCTCTCTCTCTCTCTCTCTCTCTCTCTCTCTCTCTCTCTCTCTCTCTCTCTCTTTCTTTCTATCTCTCTCTGAAGCAGCCTGTGTCTGATCTCAGATTCAGAAGCTATTAAGTGAGCCAGCACAAAGGAACCTGGGATAAATGGCACGAGATGACATTTCCTTCTTTCCTTGACAGTTTTATTTCTGCCCTGGAAAAGGTACTCTACCAAAAGGTCATGGCACCCTGCTCTTATCCATCTTTCATGAGTAAAAACATTCAGATTTTGATGTAAAGGATTATTTAGGATTTCCTAACGATCTGTGAGAGAGGCCCAGAGGAACTGCGGAAGGCCCAGGAATCTATTATGATTCAAAGGGATGATAACAACCGTTGTGTTTACACTGTGAAATTGGGACAAATTCCGGATTAAGGGAAGGAACGAGTGAGAACAGAGCTGGCAAGTTAACTTCCACGCAGAACGGGACAGGAAAATTGGGATTTTTGATGGCAAGGACTTTCTTGTTGTTAGTGATGAGAATGAAATTAAGGAGTGAAATGCTGGATGCGTTGGCATTTAATTCTCCAGCAAAGCAATAAAATATTACCTTATGCCCACCTGTGTTTCCTCCACATTTAACTGGAGTTTCAAATTATTTTACTTTTTTTTTTTATTTGAAAACTATAGAGCCCAAACTGCTGAGTGCCCCAATAATGTAAGCGTGGTAATGACATGTAATTGCCTTCAATTCCCTAGATGCAGCTCGGATGCAAGTCTTCCATTAGGTTTTCATGAAATAAAAGGCGCCTAATTATCTCAACTACCACCTATTTCACATTCATTATCCACCCCAAATCTATCAACAGGATCAACCTTTAATGAGATGTACACTGTCGCGTTGTCCTTCGTATGCGTTACTGAAATTCCATTGTATGCCTGAATGAGGGGCAAGTGGCTGATTGGTACCTACGTTTGGTTCCTTAGTTAAAAACTGTCAAAATGTCTCACATTTGTTTTACATGTTGTAACAGAGTGTGATTGCACCATGAACTGGGCTTCCTGTGCAATCAGGAAGACCGACACAAACTCTACATGACTAAGTGGCTGTCATGAAGCGAAGAGGAAGAGATAGGAGAAGAGTAGTAGAGGGCGGAGTTAAATGCATCATTAGTTTGGAATCCTTGCATTGCCTAAGAGATCTAAGTCCAGACCCCTTGAATTCCAAGTTGAGTCTTATCTAGCGCCAATTTAGTGCTGATCATTAGTTGACTGGATTCTTGTGTATGGGCTGACATAATCTTTTGTGCTTGGACTTAAGGAATGATCCTGGTTTTTTGTGCCTGACAAACCATGCCAGTCTCCCAGCCTGTTCTCAAATCCACAGGTCCTGTGTGATCTCAGGGAAATTGCATTGTGATGCTGTGCCTTGCAGGATTGGGAGAATGGAAGATATCTTCCAGTCCTATCAGAAGGTACCAGCTTGGTCCAGGCAATGGCGTGGAGATTTGGAAACATCTTCGTAGGAATATCCAAACAATTTGAGACAAAGGGCAAAATGTTGTCAGTTTTACATTGCAGTTGTCTTGTTCTTGCTTTTAGAAGTCCAGATTCATGTGTGAATCTGGGTGTCCTTATCCATTTCTTTAAAACAAACAAAGAAAGAAAGCTACCAGGTCCTCTATTAACCTGATGATATTTTAACACTGGCATCTGTAAAGAAGGATTGAAGTGTTCCAGGAGTTATACTAATGATTTATTTCACACATGGAAGTTTTCTATGAATGATCCTAGGAATCATCTCCTGGTTATTGGAACCCAGGCTTCAGGGCTATCTTTCTACTCACCTGCCACTGTATTAGAACCGACGATGTTGTGTATGGGGTCACAGACACGGAACTTGGCGGTTCATCTGGAACTAGAAAGAAAAAAAAAACCCAGATATGGAGATGAGAAATGTGTTACTTGGCCATACGGCTCTATAGTTGAATGACAGAGGGGTACAGGATCACTTCCCACCTTGGGAGGTCCAGAAGCTTTGGCCTATTCAGGGGAATGTGTGTCTATGGCCATGTTTTTCAATTTGGGCAACTTCAAGATGGGTGGACTTCAACTCCCTAGCCTTGCTGGCTGGGGAATTCTGGTTTATGAAGGTGTAGATGTAAAACTCATTATCAGAAGACAGGGCAAGAAAGCTATCGATGAGTAAAATTTAAAAGAATATAGAAATGCCTTGAAGTAGAGTTCAAAAGTTTCATCAAACTAATGTAGCCTTGACAAGCCAGAGGGAATGAGTTTCAGTAGTCTTTGTAGTGAGTTTCCTGAGCTGGCTTATCTGGAAGAACAAACATCTAAATATGGTCCTAGGGACCCAAGAATTCATTTTGGTTGGGTGCATATTCAGTCCTAAATGGACAATGTTGGGAATAAACATCTAGGTGAGGTTCCTGAATGATGTCTATGAAGATTCTCAGTCATCCAGGTCATGGTTGTCCCAAGGGTGCTTTTTCAAAAGGCAACTGGACTCTAGGAGGGATACAACACCACCTCTCTCCTGTTTACAGTTCCAAGAAGATTCCACACCCATCTGCAATATTCAGGTGATGCTGAGGGCACCGAAAAAACTCCAAGGGGCCTCAACGACTCTCAGAGAGAGCGCCAACAACCAGATGACTGCAAGAAATGGAAATCCTTCCATTCTCCACCGTTCAGTCAGAACTGAAGAAGCTTCTTGGATGAGAAGCGAAACGTCTTTAGGCAAACCAAAGGAAGTCCAGTTGCCTTTTAAAAAAAGCACCGTCCTGAATGATGGTGAAAGAGGCACCCCAAGGAAGAAGCTGGCTGGCTGTTGTGGTCCTCACCATCTTGCAGTGTAGTGACTGCCTCCGTCTCGGCACCGAAGTTGCTGTCTCCGACATCGTTGGTGGCTTTCAGGCGCAGCTTGTAAGAGGTAAAAGGGTTCAACCTGTAGAGGAGGACAATATTTATTTTTTTTAAAAAAACACACACTAACATTTGCCTCATTTTGTTATGGTTCTCCTAATCTATGCGGAAGGCAGCATGGCACCATCTAAATGTTCTGGATTACAACTTCCAGAAGCGCTAATGATGCCATCTCAGTTGGAATTCGTGGAAATTGTAGACCCGAAGACCTGAAAGACCCCAGGTTTTTTTTGAACGGCCTCTTTTGGACTTAAGTTCACTTAGCTACGCTTTCTCTAAATCTATTAGTGGGCGAAAGAATTAGTTTATAAGAGGGCATTGTGAACAGCTAATTAAAGAGCGATAATTTATTATTACCATGCTAATATTATAATCTTTTTTTGCTTCAAACTGAAGTACCCGAGGTTATTGCTGAGAGCTTGTTTGAGATAAGAACAGGGTTTACAAGACCTTTCCCCCCCCCACCTTAAAAATAAAGCCTACCAAATGTATTACTGTAAGGCTACTCATTAATATTCTAATGTAGCCCAGCATTATATGGTTCCGGGGGTGAAAGCAATAATCACAAAGTCAAATTAATCATACATGGATGTATTGTAGAGGGCTCCAGTCTTCTTGGCTACTTTTTTTGGTGAATCGGAGTGACACCTTTTGCGGTGATCAAAGATTATCTACTGCTGGTTACCTACGTGGGAGGTATCAGTAGATTTATGCAAGAGCAGGTTGAATGACAGAGGGATAAATGGAATGAGATCCACCTTTGGTTAATCTACTAGGCAATGCTCTCTAATCATGGCTGCAACTCCGAGAAGCAGTTATTCAGCTTATTTAACTCTGACAGAGACAGGGGATTCCCTGCAGGATTCCTGCACTCTCAGTGACGTTAAGATATTCAAAGATGGACTTCCAGCTGAGGTGAATTGATCTGAGCTTCCAGCGTAACCAGCAGGAGTTTTCCTTTCGTGTGACTAACAAGGTCTGCAGGAGTTCAGAGTTGCTCACAATAGGCTGAGCTAATTATAATCAGTGAGAAAGTCAGCCAATGTGCAGACCCAGCTAAGCAATCCAGAGAGAAGTACTGAGGACAGAAGATTAAAACATGGGGAGGTAAGAGGCTGGGCCAGAGCAGCAGCAGAGGGCTTTGCTTGGGGAAGGTCTATGTTGGAAAAATGCTGTATATTGTCTCCGCTTGGCTTGATATGAGGCAATTGCAACAGTGGGGAACCCCAAGAACGGGACTCTGTGCTTCACAACTTTTATGTTTGGAGGCCCCTTGTGGAAACAGTGGTTGGAATGTTCCTACACTTCAGAGCTTCTCAATCCAGGAGGACCTCTAAACAAACCCTTCTAACATCCTACTAGCGGTTAGTGTGTTGTTCAAAATGACGCATTTATTGACCAAGTGTGAGATCTTCCCAAGGCTGTGCTTCACCCAGAAGGAGCTAGCTCATTAATCTTGGCAGAGTGTTTTTGCTTTGAAGTTGAAGGGAGAGCAGGTAAGGGCAAGGACATTCTATCACCGCTGTCCTTGAGAAGAGGCAGCCTGAGCACCTCCCAGGGCAAGTCAGTTTTCTGAAGAAGCCTTAGAGATAAACTCTTTCAGTACTTTGATGGAGAACGAGTAAGTGGGTATTATGAAAAGGTAGATGATCTGAGGGGGTTATTAGCAATAACACATTAAAGTTGCTAAATCTCGAATAGAGCTGGTCACTCCCACCTGCCAAGAAAATGGTACTTATCTTCAGAAACCATCTGCTGGTTCACTCCTATTTGAAGGTGGAATATAAACATGAGAATGAACAACAAGGAGTCCTTGGGAGAAGTTCCTTCTATCTTCCTGATAAAAGAACCACCATATCCCATGGAAAATGTAAGAAGAAATGGAAACAAAATTGAGGCCAATACACAAGAGGAAGCAAGATCTCCAGATCTTTGGAGACACCACAGAGGATGGCCATACAGAGAAGGACTGAGTTACAAGGAGGACATCCTTAGCTCATCCCTTCTCCAAACAGACATAGGTCCAAAGGGCTACAGACCATGAAGCGGTCCAAAATGGGTTAAGGAGAGAACCTGAGGGAGGAAAATCATCTAAGCTATCCCTTTTGGATGTTCGCACGCTTCTGAATAGTCAACCTACCAACGTACTTGTCCAAATGCTCACCCCCAAACCTATTGGAGCTGATACAATAGTAAGGCAGTGGTGAAAGTAGACAAATTTCAAACCAGTGTATTTTTTTCGACAATGGAGGAATCTTGGGCTACCTCCCTCCCTCTGAACAACTGAAGGATTCATACTCTTCAACCTCAAAATCCAAAACTTTCCCAGTCGTCCAGGAGGGTTGGGATGTCACCATCAAAGTCCCCAGATATTAAAAAAGGAGACAAAAGTGGCTTACATGCTGATTCTTTGTACTTCTGTATTTTATGGCTGTATTTTATTGCTTTTATCTATTTTTCCCTGGAATTAGATCCTATATTTTGCCTTTATTTTTATTTTTTTATACGATTGTAAGACCAATCGATTAATCAGCCACCACATTTAATTCTGCTGCACTGCATGGAGGAGATGGGAGAATTGCCCAGAGGGGTTGGAATAGCTGTTTACATGTTAGGAAAGAGCTCTGAGTGCTTAAAGATGAGAAATTCTAATGTCAAACAAACAAACATCCTTGATTGAGTAGGCAATGCTCAGGGCTTTAAATAATGAAATTGAAGTCTCTTTAGACAAGATCTTAAAGACATTCAGGTTGGCGTGATTTAGAGCTAATGGAATCTTTCAGCAGAATCTCTAAAAAAAGCAAAAAAAAAATTCCCAATCAGACACAATTACTTTTGGGAGTTGCAATCCCACACATTCAGAAAGCTCAAGGTTGAAAAGACAGTTCTTAGGTATATAAAGATCAATACAAACTGTAACAAGAGATGCATAGGTAGCTGTGGGGAAAGGCGGGTACAGTTGCTTGAAGACCAGGGGTGTTTGTAGGGGGCTGGACCCGGGGGGGTCCAGGCTATCATACTCAGTTTAGAATTTAGAATAGAATAGAGCTGGAAGGGACCTTGGAGGCCTTCTAGTCCAGCCCTGCTCAAGCAGCAGAACCTATACCATCTCAGACATGTGACTGTCTCTAGCCTCTTCTTAAAAATCTCCAGGGATGGAGCGGCCACGATTTCTGGAGGCAAGCTGTTCCACTGGTTAATTGTCCGCACTGTCAGGAAGTTTCTCCTTAATTCTAGGTTGAATCTTTCAATCAGAAAAGACTCTTGGATCAGAGAATTCAAGAACCTCCATGATCTTGCAGAAGGACCTGGTCAGTCATGGAGATTTAGTCACTGGCATCTCCAATTAACATCTGCCGGAGGTTGGCAGAACCAGGAGTATGTCTGAGGGAGATTTGCGTCAATGGGACAGAAGGATGGAGGTGAGAGAGACTTTCATAGAATCATGGTGCTGAAAGAGTCCTTGGAAGTCTTCTAGTCCTCTGGGTCACAGAGGGCTGGAAGCAACCAAACAACGGTGTGATAATTCCAAGGGAAGTCCACCTTATCCAGTCATCACAAAAGAAATGTGGAAATGAGCTGGACTGAAAGAAGACTGTTTGGGGTCCATCCCTACAGCCCATCTTGCTACGATAGCAACAGTAGCAACTCTACCATCACAATTTCTTTTTAAAAACTCAACACTTCTAATGTAATGCCCTAAAGTTCCCTTCCATTGCTCAACACTTTTTTCAACAGCACGCCACCGGCAGCTTTAAAACACCTGGATTTCCATCGGCACATTGGGAAGTAGATTAACTGGGAAGTTTCTTTTGCAAGCAGAGTGCAGCTTGAGAGGTGATTGTGGCAAGAATCTTAATGCCAGCCCAATCTAACCAAGGCTGGGTAATACTATTTAAACAGGCAGTGCGATCTGTTCCTTCTTCACTATGGGAAGATGGATAAAAACGCCCTCGTTTAATCTGAAAATAAGATTTAAACGCAGAGGCAGAAACTCAGAAGGGAATGAATGTCAAGAAGTGGCTGCCAAAAAAAAAAGGGCTGAAGGATTTGCAGTGGTTGGCTTTGTTCCTGCATAGCTGGACAGAGGCTGAGAGAAAAAAACACGAGAGTCTTGCTAATTAACAAATGGAAATTAACTTGTCTGCGGTTAACATGGGGCGTTCTTTCTGAGATTTGGCAGAGAGCAAAATGAAGACTGTGACTTAGTTCTCGGTCCAACATCCCTTCTTGCAAACCTGGGTGAAGGAAGGGATGAATACAGGTAGCCCTCGACACAGTTGAGCTCAAAATATTGGTTGCTAAGCAAGGTAGTTGAGTTTTGCCCCCTTTTACAACTTTTCTTGCCACATTGGTTTAGGGAATAATTAATAATAATAATAAAGTTGGAAGGGACCTTGGAGGTCATCGAGTCCAACCCCCTGCTCAGGCAGGAAACCCTACACCATTTCGGACAAATGGCTGTCCACTCTCTTCTTAAAGACTTCCAGTTAAATTGATAACACAGTTGTGAAGTGAATCTGCTTTCCCCGTTGACTTTGCTTGTCAGAAGTTCGCAAAAGGGGATGACGTGATCCCGGGACACTGCGACCGTCATAAATATGAATCAGTTGCCAAGCACCTGAATTTGGATCGCGTGACCCTGGGGATGCTGCAACAGTTGTAGGTGTGAAAAACAGCCCTAAAAGTCACTTTTTTAAGTGGTGTTGTAACTTTGAACAGTCACTAATTGAACTGTCGTAAGTCAAGGACTACAGCGAAGAACAAATTATATTTCTATTAAGAAGACATCTTCAAGAGGCGAATCGTTGCTGTATTGCTACGCTACAGCCATTTTTTCATTATTGGGGTGGGAGGCATTTCAGCATGATGCTTTTACACCTTGCTGTTGTGTAACCAGCTCTTTTGCGTTAAAGAGTGGTTCCACAAGTTCATTCGGAAACTAATTCCAGCAATGTTAATTAGTAGCGGTCTCTTTCTAGCCTTTTTATTACTTCCTGTTCAATGTGGGAGCCACTCTGCGGATAAATAGCATCAACCTGATATTAATTATTCCGAGCTTGTTCCTGTCCGTTGGGGAAGCGGTTTAATCACCTGATTTCTTTTTGTGGTTGTCGTCGTCGTTTGTTCCTTTTCATCCTTTATTAATTTATTGAAAGTATATCTGGGGAACAAATTATGAAATCACCTTCGTAATAATGAAAAAAAAGCTATGGCTGGTGGATCTCGGCTATTTATGGGTGATGGGTTAACAGGGAGATTTGTTTGGTCACAACTTTCTGATCTTGAATTTTACTACCAAAAAAAAAAAAAGTTGTACGTCAAGGACGACCTGTCAAAGGGATCTCTTTTTGCTGCTTTGAGATGAGAAGATATGTTTTGCATTTTCTGTCATCTCCTGATGGAAGTATTTATACGAGACGTACCTGTCAATCAAACAGGAGGTAGCTTTGTGATTGACGGATGAAGTGTAGGTTTTCCAGTCTCCGTTTGGCAGCTCTTTCAACTGAATGGTAAAGTAACGTATCGGAGAAGAGCCATCACTTCCAGGGACCCAGTGCAGGTGGAGACTCCGGGATGTGACTTCAGACTGAGGGACTTTTAATTCCTTGGGAGGGGCTGGCCGTTCTGAAAAACAAAACACGGAGCAGTTATGATCCTTCTAAGAAATCAAGACTAACAGAAATTTGGAATCATGAATGGAGAACTTCAGAAGCAGCCGTTTATGGAGAGTCTCAACCATCCAAGGTCCAAAGGTCCTTTTCCAAAAGGCAACTGGACTTTCTTGCTGGTTTTGTTTTCTAGAAAATGTTTCACTAGTCATCCATGAAGCTTTTTCAGTTCAGATGAGAAGCGGAATGTTTTCAAGGAAAAAAAAACCCCCAAGAAAGTCCAGTTGCCTTTTGGAAAAGAACTTTTTGGGACTCAGAAGCAGTCCTGGTTGGTCCTGATTGGCGCTGAAGTGCTGTTCACTTGAGTGCAGTCTCCTGATTTTATTCTGCCTAAACAAAACACAAAACACCCGTCAAGCACTGATGATGTCACCTAGTTGGGTCATGAAACATCTGCAAGAAAATCACCAAGCTCAGAGAGCACCAAGGATTCTACAGTTCAATTCTGAGCCAGCACTGATGATGTTACCTAGTTGGGTAATAAAATATCTGCCAAGAAAACAATCAAGTTCAGAGAGCACCCAAGCCCCATAGTTCATGAATGTTAGATAAGAAGAAAAAAAAAATAGCATGGCCTAGTGCTAAATTTGTTGGTCCTGATTATAATTCTGTTCTTCTCTTTTGCTTAATTGCTCAGGACAAAGTGCCGGATGCGTGCCTTTTCCTTTGAATCTATGAAGGAAGGAGCAGGGAGATTAGCCCACATTTAAAGTTTTTTTTCCCCTTACATCCTTATGATGGTTGATGGCACCCTGGCGGAATTATTAAAGGAATCTCCGGTGCCAGACGTTGCTTAATGCAGAGGAGAAAGGAGGCCATCAGTAATGTATCAGCAGAGAACTTGGCACCCATCTCTCCGCACCCATCAATTTCAGTCAGAGAAAATCAACACGGTGAGGAATACTTATTTAATTGTTTATCATGGACACTATTGATTCTGATTAAAATGTGTGGCATGTAATAAAGGAGGCATTGATTAGTGATGCCACAGTGACTTGTCTTTGAATTAATTTGAATCAAATTGAGAATCTAATTTGATTCAATTCCATCAGCACCTGTTTCGGTAAATATCTACTCCTGGCTGCATGAACCTCCGACAGTTTTCTACAAAGAACAGCTTGTGTTTTGGCGTTTCTCTCTTCCGTCCCTCTGAAAACATTCGCCATAAGACACGGTGTGTTTTAGCACTCGGTGCTTTGACGGTGCCAACAGGACGATCAACCGTGCGTCGACAAGCATCCTCTCGATGTCAAGAGCCTAAGTTGTATGAGATGATCTTGGGGTCAGGACCAAGGTGTCCAGGTTTGTTCCACTTGAAGACTCAAGGATTTGGCCAGGGGTGGGGAGAATGTAACGTGGGAACCTAGAGTGGGAAGCACATTGTATCATGGGTTGGTTCTCTCCCGGACCAACATATTTAATGTGGTGGAATCACTAGCTAGAGTAGAAGGAGGAGTAAAGAGTGGGTGTAGCTTGGAGTTACTTTGTGGGAGGAAGCGGTGGAAGCCGGACTAGTGAAGCCTTTATCTGCCTGTTCCCAAGTGAATGTAGTTAGTCTGGCGAGATTCTTATAAATACATAATCAACAATAAAGGGGGGTCCTTTATGCTCTCTGAGCTTGCTTGTTTTCTTGCAGATGTTTCATTATACAAACTAGGTAACATCATCAGTGCTAGCTTTCCTCCTCCTCGAGGAGGAGGAGGAGGAGGAGGAGGAGGAGGAGGAGCTTGCAAACCCCACTCCCCTAGTTTAGGTAATGAAACATCTGTAAGAAAACAAGCAAGCTCAGAGACCACCAAGGACTCCTCATGTCAACCCTGAGCTATAGATATTCTCCTTTATTAGTGCAACAATAAAGAAATGGCTTGGACCTATTCATGGAGTTGTTCTGCTTCCTTGTGCCTGGCATGAAATCTCTTTCCTCCAAAGGATTTCAAAGGTTTCCCTTGACACCACCCAGCTCCCTAACTGCCCCCAGGTCCTCCACAGTGTTTAAATGATTCCGAGAGCAACTGATACAGTGCAGACCGATTATCCTGCTCGTCATTGTTCCATCATTCACTGTCTGATTGGAAATTGTTTTCCCGGATGGCAGGTGGATGGATGACTTTTCAACTCGTGGTCCTCGCCTTCCTGATTCTTGACGTTCTTGGCAATAAACATTCATGCTTTGGGGCCCTTCTGATTGAATTGCTAATATATGGAAGGGTGTCCTTGAGCATGACTTGGAAGGACGGATTTGAGCAGACTGGCTGCCATTTTCACTCAAATTGTTGGACTGGTTCACCCAATCGTATAATAAAGAACGGTTCTGTTTACTCCAGGTCTTAATTAAATTGGCCAGCTCTTCCTTGAGGTGGTTAGGATCAAAGTATTTCTTCTCAGTCCAGCCTTTCTCAAATCTTCCGCTGACATGTTAGGTTCCTTCTTCATTCCAAATGGGTGATGCAATTATAAAGAAGATTTGTTTTAACAGGAGGCTGGGTTGAAGCACCCTCTCTCCCGAGCGAGGTAGGCCAGGAGTCTAAATTACAGTCTTTGGGGATTTTTCACTTCAGGTTTATTTTCTGATCTGGACATTTTCTTTACGTGTTGGCTGGAAGAATTCTGGGAGTTGAAATCCACCGCGGAAGAGGTTGACAAATGCAGGGACTCCTCGCCTTACGGCCTGAAATTTCTGTTGCTAAGCAAGGTGGTTGTGAAGTGATTTGTGGTAGCAGGTAAAATACAAAGTTTTCTATAGACCCCATAAAGTGCAGGAATCTTGTCTGGTTTTGCACCCCAGATTGGTGGCATCAGACAGACTTGAAATGAACTGGGAAGGTAAGGAGGCTAGGGCCTTGTTAATAGTTGAATGGTGACCATGAGATCATTCCAAGATTTGGGGATATATTGGGAAGTCAACAAAACATTCTGGAAGACTACAATGCCAACCTCCTTCCGTACGGTTGCCAAAGGAAGTGCTTTCCGTTGATGTCCATTAATGATTGGCAGGGTTGGGCAGATAAAGTCGCAGAGGCTGGGAGGAAACGGATCCAACTTAAATTATGATTTACAGTGTTATACTTGTTTTGGCCAAGCTGTCAGCATTATTTGTGAACGGGCACGGGCTCCATCTGCTCCTTGTATGTTGTAAGTGAACAATTTATGACACGAGCATCGGAAATCTTCAGCGTTCAATAATAAGCATCCAAGAAGCAGCCTTGGAGCTTCTCGGACTGGATGAGGGAGCTTGAAATGACATCAAGGACAGCAGAGATAGGAATGGGTAGTAGGTGCTTCGTAGAGTTTTCTAGAAGGCAATTTTTTACATTCACAAAAAGATTAACCCCCCTTGATTTCAGATTTTACTACTCAATGGAGAGTAGGTTGAACATGTCCATGGGAATGTTTCTGGTGGCAAGCCACTGATTAATTGTTCTCACTGTCAGGAAATTACTCCTTACGTCTAGGCTGGATCTCTTTTGGATAAGCTTTAAGTTTTATCCCTAACTGCAGTTCTTACCTCTCTTTTCTGTCGTGATCACAGTTGCTTCCAAGGGCTCACCCCAACCCTGACGGGTTTTGGCCAAAGCTCGAAAAATATATGCGGATTCAGGGATGAGATCTGTAGCTGCAAACTGTTGAACTGTTGACCCCACTTCCACCGTGGTGAACTTGTTGGGGCTGCTGGATGCCAGACGGTAAGCAATCTGATACCCTGAATTCAAGAGAGACAAAGGAGGAGGTCATCCTTACGAGGATACCGACATGCACACATCAGAATAATAACATTATTGTTGCAGTTGAGTTAGCTCATCTGGTCTTTTCATGAAGGGAAAATGTCAAGACGATTAGCCCATCCTAATTCCCTTATTTAACTTAAAGGGAAACAATTGAATTGACTTTTTTTTTAGGATGGATCAGCTGAGTTTGTAATGCCTCTCCCCCTTGGGTAAAAGTCTGATTCAGTACATTATCTGGGAAATCACTGCAAAAAGACTTCTGAGTGATAATCCACCATGAAATGTTTGAAATGTTTCACACTTCCTTCTTTTGAATGAGATACTAGAGTCGTTTCACCTTCCTGGAGCATATCCATATGGTACAGTACATGTCTAGTCTAATGAAGAGAAGGACTATGGGAGACACGATAGCAGTGTTCCAATATCTCAGGGGTTGCCACAAAGAAGAGGGAGTCAAGCTATTCTCCAAAGTGCCTGAAGTCAGGACAAGAAGCAACAGATGGAAACTAACCAAGGAGAGAAGCAACCTAGAACTCTATCTGCCCAACCCTGCCGATCATTAAAGCGTGCCTGGCTGAGGAATTCTGGGAGTCGAAGTCCACAAGTCATAAAAGGGGCAAGTTTGAATAAGGGGTCTCATGAAGTCCAGACCTTTGGAAAATGTTTTAAGTGGCATGAACTTTGGGTGACGAGATGGAGCAGATGCTAACTAGCTTGTCTATTTTTTTTTTAAAAAAATGTTTATACCACCTCAATCAAAATAACAGAGGGACTTTGGAGGTCTTCTAGTCTAACCTGTTCCTCAAGCAGGAGATTCTACATTGTTTCGGACAAGTGGTTGTCCAGTCTCTTCTTAAAAACCTCCAGTGATGGAGCACCCACAAGTTCTGGAGGCAAGCTGTTCCACTAGTTAATTGTTCACTATCCCCTTTCCATTAGGGGAAAAAAAAAGATAGGACTTCCAACAGATAGTGTTCTTAGGGATGTCAAAAACTGTCATAAAAATATAAAAATAGTTTTTGCCTGCTGGTGACCAGACACGTAATAGGAAGAGTGATTTGCAAAGGCCACATTTTATTACACGGTGCCTCCATAATCCGTCTATTCTTTTCTTGCAAGTTTGCCTACAAATTATGCTAATTATAACCTGCATCTCACAGTTCTTTCTTCTTTCAGCATTCAGAAATTTATTGAAAACGTCTATGCCTGCCTACCCACATATTCTGAGCTGGGAGATATTTTCAGTTTGACTGATGTGAATTCTCAGCCATCCTTTTGCGGGTGGCTTTTGCGTCAGCTATTTTATGCTTTTGTTTTTAAATTTGCTGCTATTCCAGTTGCTTTCCTTTCTAATTATTGTGCATTGTCTGGCTTTTAATTGTTTTAATTCTATATGCTGCTTCCCAAGTCCCAAGGAAAGAAAAAGCATGATAAACATAATAAATCTAATCCAAATGTTTGTCATGCTTTTGCTCTTTTTCTTTCTTTCTTTTTTGTAATATGGCACTTGGAAAAAAAAAACGCTTTCGGAAACCGATCATCGCGCCATGCAGGAAAATGTTGATAGGGATGAACAGATCCTTAAGGAAAAAAATCCCTTTTATTGCTGCTTTGGTAGCACAATTTTCCTTAAAAAGTAGAGAAATAACTAGAAATAAATGACCTCCAGAGCAATTTTTTATCCCTGCTTCAGTTTGGATGTTCTCCAGAACTCCTTTCACTATAACATTTCTGGGGGCCACATGTATTTTTTTTATTCAAGGCTGGCACCATAAATTGTGCATCTAAGCAAGCAGCTTCACAGGGTACCACAACTGTGATAGCAGTAGCACTTAGACTTATATACCGCTTCACAGTGCTTTACAGCCCTCTCTAAGCGGTTTACAGAGTCAGCATATATTGCCCCCAACAATCTGAGTCCTCATTTTACCGACCTCGGAAGGATGGAAGGCTGAGTCAACCTTGAGCCGGTCAGGATCGAATCCCTGGCAGTCGGCAGAATTAGCCTGCAATACCGCCTTCTAACCACTGCGCCACCACGACTCAGTGTAAGCTAGACGTAGGAAGCCCTGCAAGATAATTGCTCATCTACGGACATGCATGGATGATAAAATTAAATCATCTAAAAGGCTCAGCAAAGACTGAAAAAAAAAAAGTCAAAAGCTTGGACATGCTTTTCATGGGATCACAACACTAGATGAATTTCAAAATTATAATTCCAGTTCTGTGTTTAAGCTGCAGCCGATGCACTTAGTTACATACAAGTTGTCGCAAACAATGTGACAGTTCTGGCTTAAGCTGAAATCCATTAAAAAATGTCATCCTCTGCTCTCGGGCTTAGGCATCGGGCTTAAATAAATGCAATGCATTTGATGAACAAGAGGCTGGTGGCAATCCCTCCGTGAGTGGATCAGCATATTAGATACTTTCTCATCAGTATTATTTGTGTAACTCGAAGCTACGTATTTGCATAAGGAACTTACGGCTAGCTTAAGGAAGAGCAGCAGAGTTCTCTGAAATCTGCAAAGCACTAATAGGAGTATTAGCAACCAGGTGGTGCTGTTAGATATTTGCATTAAACAAGTTTAATCTTCAGAGATCATTAACTAGGAACGCTTTGTACGGGAACTTCAAGGGGAAAAAGAGAAAAACCAAGCGGAAATATCTTTAGCTTTATCTTTTCAAGATGTGATGCCGCCTGACGAGGCTGAACACCGTGAATCCTTGGGAAGTGAGATCTGAGGAAGTAGACTTTGCCTGAAGCCTTTCAAGATGCTCCTTCTCAATCTACTCTGCTCTTGGTGCCGAGTCCCAGAATGTTCCTCGGAGAAAGAGGAAGGAAGGTGCCAGCTAAGGAGAAACTTCCTGAGAGTGAGGACAATTAACCAGTGGAACAGCTTGCCACCAGAAGTCGTGGGCACTCCATCACTGGAGGTTTTTAAGAAGAGGCTAGACAGACACTTGTCTGAGATGGTGTAGGTTCTCCTGCTTGAGCGGGGAGCTAGACTAGAAGGCCTCCAAGGTCCCTTCCAGCTTTATTCTATTCTATTCTATTCTATTCTATTCTATTCTATTCTATTCTATTCTATTCTATTCTATTCTATTATTTTATTCTATTCTATTCTATTCTATTCTACAAGAAATGGTTTTGCAAAACATTCACCCCAAATTTTGACACTTAATGCAGAAGGAACTTCATCTAAGCACAAAGAAAGGTTAGCAGATTAGATTATCCCAGATTTCAACTCCTAATCTGTGATTGTCCCTGTCTTTCTGCTCCAAAAAAACAAAACAAAAAAAAAAAACAACCCACCATGGAATAGCTTTTAAACTTTGGGCCATTTGCTGAAAAGCAAAATTGCAGGATTTTTAATTTCTTTTTGCAAGTAGTACAAATATAACAGAAAAGGAGGATGTTTTATTATTGGGGTTTTTAAAATGACAGATATAAGAATTTAGTGCCTCCTATTAAGATTTCCTTTGGCTCCAGAAATATAGTTGGAAAAAAAAATAACCAATTTCACGGCAGGAAAAATAACCGAAATAGCCCTTGCCGATTCTGTACTGTTCTTATTTCAAGCCAATCTGAGCCTGGGACAGCTAAAAAGAAATTGTCAGATTAATGTGAAAACATGCTATTAAAGATGTCTCCAAATTAATCCAAAAACCACGGTTTAAGGAATCAACCTTCAAAAGGCACTTGGGCTGCAGTGAAACACCGGGATGGGTAACTTCTACAAGACCAGGGGAAGCACCGGTGAACTCAAACGAGGAAAATCAATAGAGGTAAATGGAAAATGTTCAAGGAGAAATGAATGGATGCCCCCAGGGCTGTGGGAGCAAGACAGCAATAAATGCAAGAGGCATTTTAAAGGCCATTAAGACCTGAAGAATAGAAAGTCGGAATAAAACAGGAGTCAAAACATTGCTAAGCACGTAAAGAACATCATAAGGCCAAATATATATATATATATGGGTGTATTTTCAGAGTTGAATGGAGACATGCAAGGAGAGTGCCGACCTCTTTTAAATGGAAGGTTAATTGAAGTGCCCTCCCAGGGGAAACGATTCAGAGACCCAGAAAAATTCAAGCAGGAATTGAGAATTGTCCAGTTCCTGTTGATTTAAGATAGTCAATCCAGAGGTATTTTCCAAAAGGCAACTGGACTTCCTTTTTTTTTTCTCCTTGAAACATCCAAGAACTGGACCCAAGAAAGTCCAGTTACCTTTTTGGAAAGCATTTTGGGGACAACCACGACCTGCATGATTGAGAATCTCCATAGATGGTCAACTTCCAAAAATCAACCTTCGGCTTTTCCCAGGTAACTTTTTCTCTTTCCAAACAACGAACCAACCAGAAGCAAGCCATATTCAGCTGATGTAGCTTCTGGCTGGCTTTTTCTAAATCCCAGGGCAGTTAATGGGGCATGTCGCCAGCCTTCCCCAAAATTGGTGCCCTCCAAATGGGCTGGATTTGACTTCCCCTAATTCCTAAACAAACATTCAATGGTTGTTGCTACGTACGCTCTGCTAGATTGTTTTATATGTTGCTTAAAGCAATACTTCCCTAGTAATTTTCCACAGTTGTTTGGGTCTGGCTCCCCTACATGCACCTGATTCTTGCCCCTCTTTAGATTAGTGGAAGTCCTTTTACACAATCTGCGGTTTATAATTAGCATCCAGAGGTGCGCTACAAGCTGTCTTCAAACAAACGCAGGATCCGCTGGCACACCACTGCTTTCTGAGCCAAGTAAATGGCAACGGTTTAATGTGTCTATTAAATGTTAGGTCACTCTAAGTCATTTCTTCCCTCAGAGCAAACAAGCAGGAGCAAGAACAGGTTTTGTACTCGGAATACTAATGCTGGTTTTATACTCATCGTCACCTTCCAAAGCTCTTCAGACCGAGCAGGACCATGTCTGAGCAAGGAGACGAGGAGGAGGAGGAGAAGGAATCTTAGTGGTAGTGGAAGAGGAGAAAGAGAAGAAGGAGGAGGAGGAAGAGGAGGTGATGGTGGAGGAGGAGAAAGAGAAGAAGGAGGAGGAGGAGGAAGAGGAGGTGGTGGTGGAGGAGGAGGAAGAGAAGAAGGAGGAGGAGGAAGAGGAGGTGATGGTAGAGGAGCAGAAAGAGAAGAAGGAGGAAGAGGAGGAAGAGGAGGTGGTGGTGGAGGAGGAGGAAGAGAAGAAGGAGTAGGAGTAGGAAGAGGAGGTGGTGGTGGTGGTGGAGGAGGAGGAATCTTAGTGGTAGTGGAAGAGGAGAAAGAGAAGAAGGAGGAGGAGGAAGAGGAGGTGATGGTGGAGGAGGAGAAAGAGAAGGAGGAGGAGGAGGAAGAGGAGGTGGTGGTGGAGGAGGAGGAGGAATCTTAGTGGTAGTGGAAGAGGAGAAAGAGAAGAAGGAGGAGGAGGAAGAGGAGGTGTTGGTAGAGGAGGAGAAAGAGAAGAAGGAGGAGAAGGAGGAGGAGGAAGAGGAGGTGATGGTGGAGGAGGAGGAAGAGAAGAAGGAGAAGGAATAGTATTAGTGGTGGAAGAGGAGAAGGAAGAGAAGGAGAAGGAATGGTGGTGGTGGTGGACGAGGAGAAGGCATAAAGAGAGGATATGAAAAATGGAATGCAAAATGCAGTGTCTATTCAGGGCCTCCAAGTCACATTCTTTAAAACAAGGATTTAAATTTAACCCATTTTTCTCCCCCCACCCCGGGACTTGCTGCATTTGCACGCTCACTGCTAAAATGCTCAATCATGCTTTAATACCAACTATTGGCATCTTCAACACATAGAAAGGCCTTACAAGCTCTCTCGTGTCGCCACTTCAATATTTGGATTCCTTCATCATTCAAGTGAAGAATTGTAATACGTTGTGGATAAACGGATTGTCAAGATGTGAGGAAGGCCAAGCAAAACCAACCAAAGGAACGAGCAAAAAAAATATTTTGTTTCGTTTTCGGTAAAATATTAGAGATGGTAGGAATGGTTTTGGGTTTTTTGGGGGGGAACGGAACCACCATTTTTTTTGCTAACCCCCCAACACGAAAAGATGCTTTTCTGTCTTTTGGTTTCTTTGACTTTGAAAACATCTTGAGATGTTCTAACTCTCTCCCTCACCGTTTGCTTTTCGTTTTCACTTACCAAGAATAATTCCATTTGGTTCCTCAGGAGCCTGCCACATAATCTGCACGGACGTCAGCCTCACTTCAGGAAATACCAATCGCACCGGGGGGCCCGGGACTGCGAGAAACCCAAAACAATACCGTTATGATGGCTACCTGCTGAATTGTTCAAAGATATCCAGATATCTTGGCCCTTCATATAAGCATCCTGCTTGTAGAAGGTTCTAGACCCAATCTAGCCTTCTAGAAAAAGGATGTCCAAGATGAAAAGGATCCAGTGGAAGAACTCCAGAACGTTTCTGGAGACACGTTTCACCTTCTTGAGTAGAAAGTCCCCATCTCTAGTCTGTGAAGCTTCCTTGCTGAGCTAGAGAGACCAATTGTTTGAACTTCTAGAGGTAAATCATAAATGGTACAGAACTCAAAGAGAATGAAGAATTTTCTGCAATGTGAAAAGTTTGCTATTTGGGGAGTTAGCCTAGCCTGGAGTCCATGAGCTAACGCATACCCAAGAAGTATATTTACAGTGGGTTCTTTAACAAATGAAGGTTGACCTCAGGAGATATCAACAGGCAAGGACCTCTGAAGATTCTTCACGGTTGGACCACGTTCTATAGACATGAAACTCCTGGCATCATATATCACAGCCCTACTGAACTTCATGTCCTCTGGGTGTTTCAAACTACAGCTCCCAATGAGGAGAGACATTGGCTGGGCAGATGGAAAGTATGGGAGCTGTAGTCCAAGGCATCTGCTGGGTGCCAATTAGGTTAAGGGGGATATATCAATGTCCTATGGTGACACTGAATTATCTCGAGAGGGAGAGGTTAATTTTCACATCATCCGTTTTCATGAATATTCACCGGGCACATTGCTTGCTTCCCAAATGAATTATCTTCTAATTGCATGTACTCATCGTGAGTGCCTCTGCTCTTCCTGAGCATCAAAGGGGTGGGGGGAGTGGGTGAACAGTGACACAGATGACAAATTACCTACACACCAAGGTCACCAGGGGGACTTAATGATAATTTGCAAACCTGGAGACACCTCAAGCCCGAATCCCACCTCTCCTCTTACCTAGGATGTTTTTAATTAAACTGGTCGGGGAGGAATCAAGCAAGCTTATGTCAGGAGTTTGGGAACGGAAGAGCAAATAGCGCCATTTGTCACCCAGGGCTGGAGGAAGGATAAAGTAGTCCAATTCTGATTTGTTAGCTAACTTAGCAAGGTTAAGCCAGACTGTGTGTACACATTTAATTGTCCATCTCATTAGGACCTCAGGCAACAGCCTCCAAGGGGTTACTGATAGTGGATTACTCCAATAATCCTGAGAAGTATTGAGTCCCATCAAAAACCCCTAGGAAAGGGGCAGCAACTCTGATTTAGGTGAGGGACTGGTCTTCATATGATCTAATTGGACCCTCATTTCGAAAAATAAGCAGATCCAGGACAAATAACCGACTCAGGGCTATGGTTTTCTGTGGAGCCTTGGCGCTCGCTGGGTGTAGTTGTTTTCTTACAGATTTTTTAGGATCCAACTAGGTAACATTATCAGTGCTAGAAGAGAGGTGGGTTTGTTACCTAGCTGGGTCACGAAATGTCTGCAAGAAAATCACCCAGCTGAGAGCGGACAAAGGACTCATAGTCCTTCTCCTTGTCTCCTCTTCCTCCTCTTCCTCCTCCCCTTCTCCTCCACTCCACTCATCCCACTCCTTTCTAGCACTGATGATGTTCCCTAGTTGGGTCATGAGACGTCTGCAAGAAAACCACCAAGCTCAGAGAGCGCCAAGGACCCCACAGGTCAACCCTGAGCTACGAATATTCTCTTCTAGGAATATAGTTTTCTGTTGAGTTCAATCAAGTTAATTCAACACGGTTAACGCGATTGCTTCCTGTGGATACAATATTTGCCCTCCTGTCACATCAAAAGTGACCCGCTCGGTGGCAACGTCTGGAACTTCTACAGCCTTCATAGGCTGTGTGCAACTTGGATACTGGGTCGTGTTTCCCCTCCCCTAATCGAGAAGAAGGATAGAAATCTCCCTTTATTTATTTTGCTTCAGTTCTATTCTGAGCATCTTCTTTAGGGAAAAAGCTGTAACAGAGAGAGGAAAAAAACAGCATGTGGTGGATGAAGGGTAGCTTCAAGTCTCCCCCATTGTCAGAAAGTCACCGGGGGCAACATTTTTCTCAAAGTCAGACTTCAGAGCATTGACCAATCATTCAGGACGCTTCTAAGAATTAGATGAGCAAAGCGTTGGGGCACCCTCAAAAGCATAATCCAAAGGCATTTCTGGAAGTGTTGATTATCCTAAGCAAGCATTTTAATGGCTTTTTTTTTTTTTAATAAGATGAGCTTTGGAATTGCCAAATTCAGAATCGCAAGTTCCTTCAGAGCCTGGGACTAAGAGATGTTGGTACGGATTCATGGGAAGCTCAGACTGTTGAAGTTTCTTCACCTGTGCCTCTTCCATTAACTAGGATTTAACTAATACCTTTCTAAGAAGCTAAGGCTAGGAAAGTTGGATAACCGTTTCCATAACAAACGGAGAGACAAGCTGTAGGATTAAGGCCGGCATCCCTATCTCTACAGCTAACGAATCTTTCAATCAGGAACTTGCAATAAAGCCCTCTCTTCTTTCGAGATGTCAAATTCTAAAAACGAATTTTCATCCTCGGGAAAAGTATTTGCGACTAATACTAAATATTTTATTTTTTTTACAGAACAGAAAAGGTCATGTTGTTATTCTTTTGTCAAAGGCTGATAGGAGGCCCATTTACGGTATATGAACCTGCGTTGTATTCCCATTCAATCACAGAAAGGTTTGTTTATTCCATCCTGTTATATCAGAAGGTGGTGTGCTTTTTTTATTGGTAGGCTTGAATTTCGGTAAGATTTCATAATTGGACTGTAAAAGTTTCCTTTAGGGCTTGGAGCTGGCTATAAAATGCAAGGATTTTTGAGTGAAGTGGCCTTTTTTTGTCCAATATTTTTACAAGAAGGGGACGGTTTGGGGAACGGACGCTCAGCTCAAAGTTAAAGGAGCATTGTCCGTTGGTACAAGGAGAAAAAAAATGTTTTTTTTAAAGATTAAAACTGTAATCAACATAGAACATAAAATGATAGGGCAGGAAGGGACCTTGGAGGTCTTCTAGTCCAACCCCCTGCTCAGGGCAGAAGCCTTACACCAACCCAGACAAATGCTTGTCAAATCCATTTGTTCTATCAAGATGCATTCTTCTTAAGAGTGCAGGCAGTGAATGGAGATAGTTTGTGGAAGCTGGAAAATCCACACACTGACACATAAACTTGCACACACACACACACACACACACACACACACACTTACCATCATCCTTAGTTCGCTCAGTGACTGGTGGATTGCTGGCCACCCCATCTCCAATGCGCGTGAAGGCCAGCACCTGAATCTCATAGACCACGTACTTCTGAAGGCCAGCTAGCAGGACCGAAAGACTGTGGTTCCCTCTGACCACTTGACTGCTTGGCTGACTTTGCACATCTCTGGCCTTGTACAAAATCTGCAGTGGGAAACAAACAGTTTTGATAAAAAGTGTCTGGGGAAAGGAACAAAACTCTTCCCCAAAGAGTAACGCCCTTCCTAATAAAAGAAGCACAACCCCATGCGCTGTTTTGACTTATCCAGGGCTACAAAAAAATCTGTTCTCATATGTACGAAGATGACGACAGAAGTTGACGTATCTTCGCAGTAGTGCTTCTCAACCTGGATGACTTTAAGACGGGTGGACTTCCACTCCCAGAATTCCTCAGCCAATTCCCCATGCTGGCTGGGGAATTCTGGGAGTGGAAGTCCACCCATCTTAAAGTCGTCCAGGTTGAGATATGCTGCTTTAGACCAGGGGTAGTCAACCTTGGCTCTTTTATGACTCGTGGACTTCAACTCCCAGAATTTCTGAGCCAGCTGTCCACAAGTCATAAAAGAGCCAAGGTTGACTACCTCTGCTTTAGACAAATGAGGAACAATATTTGGGTTTAGATGCCTACCTTGTAGCCCAGAATGAGTCCGTTTTGCTCGGCTTCGGGCACAGCTGACCACGTCAAAAGGATCTGAGTGGAACTCACCGCTTCAGCGGACACATTTGCTGGGGAAGCTGAAGGAACTGCGTGCAATCAAACGAACAGCAATTAAAACCAAACACACCATCCCATCATTCCTTTGTGCTTCTAGGATCTGAACCACCATTGAAACACCAAATAGAAACATAGAGCTAGAGTTGTTTTAGAAACAAAGTACAGTGTAAGAGATGAGCAGGCTGAGCCTGAGGAAGGGGTTAAATGTGTCATCAGTCATGAGTCCTTGCGGACTCTCAAGAGATCTAAGTCCAGCCCATTTCGAATGCCTTTCTTATCTCCCGCTCATTTCGCTTGATTTTTAGTTGGCCAGATTCTTATAGAGGGCTGAAGCTTGCAATGAATCTTCATACTCATTTGAATTGCCTGAATCTGTGCTCACCCAGATATCAGAACTTCTGATCTAGGTCAGTGATGGCAAACCTTTCAGAGACCAAGTGCCCAAACTGCAACCCAAAACCCACTTATGCATCGTAGAGTGCCGGGTGGGTGTGGCCCATTGGCTGGGTGTGGCCCATTGGGTGGGCGTCGCCAATTGGGTGGGCATGGCTGCAGTGGTAACAGCAGACTGGGTGGGACTAAAAAGTTCAATCAATCAATTCCAACTTTGCAAGATCTTTTTTTTCCCCGCGAGAAGTTGAAATTGACTGATTGATTGAACCTTTTTTTTTTTTGCACATGGCGGTGGAGGCCTAAAGCGAAAAGGTTTTATAAAACCCAGCTGAAGGCCTAGGACTGGGGCAACGGCACACGTGCCCACAGAGAGGGCTCTGAGTGCTGCCTCTGGCACCCGTGCCATAGGTTCACCACCACTGATCTAGGTCATAAGTCCCCTTTTTTGGGTCAGTCATAACTTCCAGTAGAGTCTAAGCAACTGGTCATAAGTCATAAAAAAAAATCCATGTGTTAATGGTAACTTTGACCAAAGAGATGATCTTCATTCATTGGAAGTCCAGAAATGAGACTCAAACAGAGCTACACTAAATCTTGAGACTTTAAACTGAATTCACAGCTACTGGGGGGCAGGCAGCCCCTCTGAAGGGAACCAGGTTAACCATCTGATTATGAATATCTTTTTCCTCTTGTTTGTTGTCTTGTCGTTCCTAGCCCAACCCTTCTCTTCTCCTTTGCCTTGTAATGACATTTGAATATAATGGTTTTCCGCCATAGTAGCAGTTGTTTGATTTGCCCTGTTAAATATTTTAATGAATTGTACTGTGGAATGGGGTTGTTTTCAACAGTATTATAAGCTGCCTTGGAGATCAATCTATATTTGAGTGGCTTGCTATAAATCTTTTAGATGAACAAATAAATTAAACACAGGTCCCCAGATGGAGGAGACACCGTCTCATTACCCGAATCGTTTCTCTCTACCTTGTACAGGACATTATGCATACATATCAACTCTTGCAAATATTCAAGGCTTCCCACAGCAGTCTGCAACTGTCTCTTTTTTTTTTCCCCTTATGTAACCATCTTTGCTCTGTTCCTGTGGCCTAGTTGGAGAGGAATATTTGGAGTTACATTTTCAGCAAGATATGAAAGCAAGGTAAGATACTGCTATCCCCTGTTGTCCAAGATATGGTCTATTAATTCTGGCTGACCACAGAATTGGTGCAAAGCTTTCCCTCCCTAAGGAAGTTATTTCAGAAATAACTACCTAATGGTCCATTTTGTCTCAAGGTAGCCTTAGGAAGAACTGCAACTACTGTGCTTTATTCTTCAGCCAGTTTTAGGTACCAACTATCCCACTTCAGAAATTCCAGCACCTCCTGGCACCTTGATGCAGCCATCGGAAATGTTCAGGTAGAAGCAGAGGTTATAATAAGAGATTGGTTGAGGAACTCAATGAGTGTGGACAATACCTGGAAATGGCCTGGTATGAAGATGTTTGATATCATCCTGCACCAAAAGTCATTTCATTTTCATTTTCATTTTATTCAATTTGTATCCCGCCCTTCTCCCGAAGGACTCAGGGCGGCTCACAACATTTTTAAAAAACAAAGACAAACCCACACACCCCACCGAATAAAACCAAATTAAAACCAATATTTTAGTGTTGTGGTAATTAAAATTTCTAAGAAACCCAATTTAAAAATCCTCCCATCTCTTTTCTCACAGAGATTCCAAAATTGCTTATAGTATCAGTTAAGATAAGATGCTTCTAAAATTACAAGACACACTGAACAAAGACAAAAATCCCAGAAGCCAGATACCACAACCACAACAAACCGGTCTCTAGGCAGGATATAAATGTTGTCACTAGCTTGCCACAATTAAAGTGGGGACCACAAAGAACCTCCAGGGACAGACAACTCTCCAGTCCTAGACCGAGCTAAAAATGCTAGAGAATTCCTGAAAGCCTGGCACTCAGCCAAATCAACCATCAACAGGCACATAGAGATAAACAACATCTACATACGATTCAAAAGAAAGAATCAGCAAGCTAAAAGGCCACAGCATCTCCTGACCAGCGATCCACACAGAGATAAGCAGAAATTAACACCAAGCGATAAACAGGATAACGCTCTATCTGTAATCTCAGCTAAAAGGAGCTTTTGTGGCCATGTCACACAAAGCAGGATCTTTGGTGACCACAGTAGTAGGCCAACTGGTAGTTTCATATGGAAGATAATGCCTTGAAATACCCTGAAACTAATAAATGGCTTAAGTCAGGCTCTAACTGTTGCAAAAACTACAAATGGAGACTCCAATTTCAGATCGATTTAGTTCCAATAAAAGCAAGAGGCAAGAATGGGACATTGTAGTCCCTTAAGTGACCAGCTGAGATCTTTTTTCACGAGAGAAGCAAGACCAAAACTCTTTCATTTTCTATAGAGGTGATGCGATGTCCTGCAGCAATATTTGATGAAAGGCCATCTCATCTAACCTAATCCTTTTAGAAAGCCAGAAGCTATCCAATTAAGTCCAGGCCCTCAATATTTGCTATGGAAACATAGCCTAAGAATGTCGAACGTTTTCAAATAAAAACTTTTTGGGGGAAAAGAGAGGAAGGAAACAAGGCATCCCTTTTCAGTGTGAAGACTTTAATTTAAAGGTCACCATAAAATTACTGTCACTAACCTCCCCGTGACAGGCAGAAATCCTACATCTCCCCTCTCAATTGCCTCTCCATTCTTATGCCTCTGAGCACCTTTTAGAGATGTGTAACTCTATTTGGTTAACACAATTAGACCTTCAGCTTGCTCTAAGCGTCTCGGATGAGAATTTTATTCATTTGTGAAAGGGTAGGGGTGGAAGGTAGCTTCCTCTCAACCTTAAAGGACAACTTGTTCAAAGCAGGAGAACGTCTCTGAGCATCTCAACAAGGAAAACTTGCTTTGTTTGCGTGTGTGTGCGTGCTTGCGGTAGAAAAAGGCTTTTGAGCTCTAGTTTTGGAAATATGAGCTGTCTAAACAAGCACCTGTGACAATTCAGCCACAAGAAGAGCCGGAGTGGAAGGCACTTTCGTGCTATTGATGGATTCCTGAAAGCTTCTGGTTGACCTGTTGTGAGAAACTGAGACTGCAATAGGTGAGCGTTCGTTCAAGCGCAGCTGGTCTTTTGAAAAGGGGCCTCTGATGAAAGACACACGGATTCCCAGGGAGCCTCTGGAAATGCTGACGAGAGTGAAGGCATTAGGGTGCCAGGTAGGGTGGTGGTAGTATCTCCCCCATCAGAGATGTAGAGGAGAAAGGATGTTCCATGCTTAAGAGTCTTCTGGAAATGCAAAAGAGAGTGAAGGCATTGGGAAGGAGCGGTGGTGGTAGTTTCCTCCAGAATAGAAGGACAAGCAGGGCCTGGGGGTGGAGTCAAGAGAGGAATCAACCTAGAATCATTACGTTCTCTCAAACAGTCCAACCCCTTTTGAATTCCCCTGACTCTTATCTAGCTCCAAATTAGTGCTGACCGCTAGTTGACTAGATTCTTGTGTCTAGGGATGAACAATAAATCAGCTTCACTGGAGCTTAATGTGTGATCCTGACTGTTTTGCGCCTGATCCCCTCCCATCCAATACTTAGAGGAGAAACGATATTCCCTACTTAAGAGTCATGGACCGCTTGTAGAAAGGCTCCAGGCAGCGATTCTTCTTCTCTGTCAATCAAAGCTGGAATAATAGCCAGTAGCTTTTGGGGAGGAAGATGTCATACTCAAGGGTAGAACAGGATGTGTGGGGTGAGTACAGACATCCCTGACAGTTCGCCTCGTGTCTCGTTCCTTCTTCATCAGTACCATGCACAACATTTCAGATCTGTCAAAACCTCGCCATCTGTCACTTTTAACTCCGTACCTGTATCCTCCGAGTCACACAAGGGTATTCCCAAGAAATTCACGCACACACACACACAGAGCGACATGCCAGCCACCCTCTCTGTGAGGCTCCAGGTGACCAAATCACCTCTGTAACGGTTTCTGCATCGCCAATTAGCCGGAAATATCAGGAAAAAAATATTCTAGTTCCCTTTCCTATTCCCTCTATGTTGTTCCTCAGGTTGATTTTTTTTTTCTTTTTAGGTTCCTCTTCGCCTGGATTTATCTCTCGCCAGAATATAATTATGTTAAAGGACTATAGATTGCCAAGAGACACGAATGTTTTTGGCAGGCTGCCTCGGATTTATCTACAGATCTTCACAAAGAGAAACTCCGTTATGAATGGCTTCTTGAGGGAGGGGGTGGGGAGAAATGAAAAACAAGTGGCAATGCACCAGATTTTCGGGGCGAAGGGAGCGACCTGTCATCCAGCCGCTGTTGTTTTTCGGTTGTTCAGTTGCTCCCGACTCTTCGAGGCCCAACGGATGCAATTTGGCCAGGATTGTCTGTCAGTAGCTTACTTCTTGGCGTTCTTGCAAGCTCACCGTCGTGGCCCCGTGTTATTTTCTCCCAAGGAAGTCTGACCTTTTCATAGAAATTTCTTAAGAGAGGGAATCATTTCATGGCTGGCACGGGCGACGTCCTTCTGAATTCTGGACAATTAACTTCCGAATAAATCTGGGTAGCTCTTTGGAGAAAACCAGGTGGCTAAATTGCATCAGATTGCCGTACTGCGATATCCTAAGGCTCCTCTTAAACCGGATTAAAGCTCAGCACAGGTAGTCCTCAACTTAGGACCACGTTGGAGCCTGACATTTCTGTTACTAAGTGAGACATTTCTTAACTGTTTTGCCCCCATTTTACGACCTTTCTTGCCACAGTTGTTAAGTGAATCACAATAATAACAACAACAATAACAATAAGTTGAAAGGGACCTTGGAGGTCAACTAGTCCAACCCCCTGCTCAGGCAGGAAAACCTATACCATTTCAGACAAATGGCTGTCCAGTCTCTTCTTAAAAACTTCCAGTGTTGGAGCATTCACCGCTTCTGGAGGCAAAGAGTTCCACTGGTTTATTGGAGAAAGGTTGGTTGCGATGGCCAACAGTCTTGATGGAAACATCCAGTAACTTCAATGCCATCCAATCAGATCCATAAAGTATCATTCCTGGGATTATAAAACTGAGCAGTCCATCAATCTGGACTGGTGTTAATACCTGCTATCTACACAGCCCATAGAGTTGTTGCCAACCCCTTGGATGGCTTTGCACGATGCATCAACGGGGCAATCCTCCTTACCTGACACCATCTCAGCCACCTTTGTTCAAAAGCAAGCACTATGTGTGGTTCTCTTTTGGTTTAATTGAGCCCTTCCTCCATCATGAATGAAAATATGCAAATTTGAAGATGCCAAGCATTTTATTGCAAAAAGAAATGGGAAGAACAAAGGGTAAGTCCCATTTTCAGTGATAAATGAGAGACTCAACCTTAGCCATGCAGCAACGGGAAGGCCTTGTATGATTATGGAGACAAATTGCAGATACAACCCCTACTCATTGGGCAGGTTAGCCACGGCGTGATTTACTCTCACTGTTGAATACTTAATTCCGGAAAGGTCACTGCGCTCAATTATTCACCCACAGGAGAAAGGTAAATTACATGGGGTGCATATGGGACAGGAGTCAAGGAAGAAGACTTGTTAGAAGTTATCCGGATAACAGCTTAATCACTATCTTCTGCCAAAGAGCTAGTCTGGCTACTTTGCCTAGCTGCTATGAGGGTGTCTTTCTTCTGGCCGTATGTCCTTCTGAACCTGCTTGGCTGAGAATCACTCTTGTTAAAATTGGACTACTCGGCATAGCTGGGCTACATGAATCAGTGACGGAATGTAGCATGGAAGTGGATCCCTAGGAGGGAAGGAGTGGATTCCAGGGGAGTAAGAGACAACTCAGCCCAGAGATCACCTGTGAGAGGAAGAGGGTGAAGACAGCCCCTCCTCAAGAGTTCCCAGAGTATATTGTAGATGCAGATAGTAAAGACTTCATTCTGGCAAGATTCTGTCTATCGGTATGAAACAATAAAGAACTCAGCTTGGAAGAACAGCCGCATGTCGTTCTTGGTTTTGGACCTGACAGAGTCGGACTGATGTAAAAAAAAATGCCTTCCAGGTGTAAATCTATTCAGGTTCAGTAGAACAGTCCCAAGCCAAAGGAAACGCCTGAAAAAGCATTTAAGAGCAAGAAGGGATGCTTACCTGATTCTCGTGTACGGCCTCGCACCACCTCACTCCAGGGTCCCGACCCAATGGCGTTGAAGGCTTGGATCTGCAGCTCATACTCGGTCCACTCTTGAAGGTCCTCGACGGTGACTTCAGTCTCCAGTCGGTCACTGATGACCTTGGCCAGGGCAGGACACTGCATGTCCACACACCAGTACTTGATCCTGTAACCGACTGACTCAGGGTTCCCATTGTATTGCGCATCAGGCAGAGGCTGAACATGGTCAAAAGAGAAAAAGATCACTGAGAATAAGGTCACTTAATTCGCTGCCTGTTGTTGTGCTATTTGAAGGACCATCTCTCCCCTGTTGCATCCACCCAGCCCACCAGGATAAGAAGGCAAGATATGTTGCGGATCCCCTTGATTAGGGATTTACATCTGGTGGGATCATGAAAAAGGACCTTCTTGGTGGTGGCCCCTTCTCTGTGGAACATCATTCACTTGGAGTACAATAAGCCCCCATCTCGTTGCTTTTCCAAAAGGCCCTGAAGACCTGGTTTTGTCAGTGGGCCCGAGGATCACAAATGGAGATGGTTGATTTGATTGTGTTGTTGCTCCCATGGGGGAAAGGGGTTGTGGGTTGTTTTTATTTTTAATGTGGTAAGAATCCAGAATTGCCTGTGAGTGAGTTGGGTAGCCATAAATTTGTTTAATAAATAAATAAAATAAATATTCTTAAAAATGTCCTTAGCGAGGATTCTAGAACTACCAATAGATGTTTGAACTGTGGGGTCCTTGGTGCTCTCTGAGCCTGGTTGTTTTCTTGCAGACGTTTCATTACCCAACTAGGGAACATCATCCAGTAGCGCTGATGATGTTGCCTAGTTTGTGTAATGAAATGTCTCTAAGAAAACAACCAAGTTCAGAGAGCACCTAGAACCTCTTAGTTCAAACATCTATGTGTAGTTCTAGAATCCTCGAGGGTCTAGAATCCTTGTAGTTCAGGGTGGAAATGAGATGTCCTTGGTGCCCTCTGAACTTGTTTGTTTTCTTGCAGACATTTCATTACTCAAGTAGGGATCATCACCAGTTCCCCTCCTATTTCAACCCCGAGCTATAAGTATTCTCCTTTATTAGATGTTTGAACTTTCAGAGCCGATGGCTGTCTGCGAAGCATTAAGGCAGAGCCAGACATGTAGCTCACACTATTAATAACACTAATTATACAGTCAGGTGACCCACGCCTGTCATTTTGCCCACCTCTCTGGCTCCCTGCCAATTAATCCATCTTCCGCACTTAGAGCATCACCCCACACCTCTTTGACTAGGATCCAAAATGATGGTTTCGGGGCACACACTGGCATCTGGGGTACGTCTGCCGGGATCTGCAGCTACTTTTATCCTGAAGAACTGGCTCATGCGGCAGATGACAAACAAGAGGAAAACTTTGTTCTCCTGGTTAATGGGGTGCCTTAATGACCTGGAGAACACACAGGAGCTTGTGGGGGGGAGTCTTCCTTCTCTGCAAAATGAGGATGGTGAATTGGCTTGGGGAAATCAGGAAGCAGTTTGTTTTTTTGCATTCGGCAGCAAAACAGGAAGGCGTCTTAGAGTGGCCGAGCAGCAGAAATTGGAATATTTGAATGAATTTTCATCAAGCAAGGGTGGGTTAGCAGTCAAAGGCACAAGATAAATTCATTTATCAAGGGCCGTGCCATTTATCACCCGCTTCCAGAGTTAATCACTCAGCTCTGTAATCTATCAAGGAGATATAACCTCCACATTCACTCCTGTTTCTACGTGAAAACCATTCTCTTTACAGTTTAAAACTTTTCGGAAATTCAGCTAAATTCAGCTAAATTCGGTGGCCAAGAACTCCTTTTCATTTGCTTTGGAGTCGTGTTGCCTTAAACAAAGAGGCAACATATGGTTGAGTCCCATTATGTTGCCTTGGAAATGTCTTGCTATGTTTTCAGTAGCTGGTCTGCTGAAAAGGTCAGGCTCGGATTTATGCTTGCCCAGATGCAGATAAGAAACAGCAAAGAAATTGCAGATAGGAAAAAAAATAGAGGGGAGACAGGCGGAAGCTCAATTATGACCTAACAGATTTTTTGGGGGTAGGGGAGTAAATAACAAAAGAAAAATTCAATGGATTTGAGCATCATCCATTAGGACAGGCGTTCTTCTCCCTATCAGTTCTGGAAGAAGAGCAGGCAGAGCTAGGTGGCGGAATTAAGTGCACCATCTGCTTAGAATCATTACATTGCCACAAACGATCCAACCCCTCTTGAATTCTGTTGACCCTTAGCTGGTGCCGATTTAGCATTGAATTTTAGTTGACTACATTCTTGTGTACCGGTCTGAACGTTAAATCTCTGAACTGCAGCTTAGCATACGGTCTTGATCCTTTGCACCTGACAAATTGGCTTCCGTTATTCTCAAACATCTCAGGTGTTTTGGGGGCTGACATTCCACCCATTTGAAGGTCAATTCGAGGAGAAGAGTCTCCTAAGAGAATTAGTTAGGAAGCCTTGCTTTCTTCTACATAAGCCGGTTATTGGTAACTTACCACCCAGCGGACCCATAAGCTCGTCTCACTGGCAGTACGCACTGTCACACTCCCCGGTGCCACATCTGGGGGTGCTTGGAGGGTCTGAATGACCCGTGAGGGCTGGCTGAATGGGCTTTGACCAACAATGTTTTCCTGCTTCATCTTGAACCTGTTGGGCAGAGAGAGGCATCAATGCACAGGATTGAAAAGCTAGAAGTTCAGGTTTCCTTGAAAAGAGAGTGAGCATTGCCCACCCGCTCCAGCTTAAGAAGTGTTTCACCTAATTACATAATTAAGCCACAGGCCCAACTTACGAAAGTTAAACAAAATGCACTTTATTCCATTTAAAACCAAGAAAGGAAAAGACGTATTTATGTCTGCACAAGACACACCTAGAGAAACAGGTCAAACGATAAAGGAAAATCTCATAGGTGCTCCATTATTAAAATGTGAACTAGCTGGATTAGAACACTTGTTGGTTAATTTATGAGATCCAGATAGGGTAGGGCTCCTCCATACTTGGGAGTGGGCAGCAGAGGGAAACATTTTCAAAGAACAAAGGTCACTACTGAGAAGACTGTCACAAGATTGTCCATTTTCTTGATGTTTGGAAGAGTTAGCGGTGAAAGGAAACCAGCCTCCAAAGAATCTGGTGGCTGGACACCATCAAAGCTGACACCATTACTCAAAGAGTAGTGTGAGATCAGAAGATGTGGAGAGACCTGGCCCACAGAGTCGCCAAGAGTCAGACACGACTGAAGGGATATCACCATAATCGTCATCCATTTTCTAGATATTCTCAAGGAATGGAGTCCCACAACAGAACAGAACAAATTATTCAGTTCAATTGTTTTGATTCTTATGAGCCACGCTGGATCTAATTAAGAGTGGTAGTGTGGAAATTTAAAGAATAATTCAATAAATATGCTTCTGTCCCAGAATGTACTGAATAGGTCTGTGCAGGGACAGGAAGCCCAAAGGTGTGACATACACAGACCACAAGGAAGAATGCCTGGTTTATAAATATCCACACGAAGTCAGCCCATGGATTCATCCTCCTCTCTTTTCCACAAGTTGTTTGTCTTCTGACAGCAGTAGTTTGGGAAGATGGACCTTCCAATTCCAGAAAAGGCATTAGCTACAAAAAGTATTAGACTCCAGTGATCAGAAGCAGAGCCATTATAATGGAAAGAGAAAGCTTTGGGTTAAAGTCGTATTGTGTTAAGGCATCATCTTCTCAACCTGTCCTGGGTTGTTCTCCCACTAAAATGTTAGGACTGAAAGAAAAGGGCACACTACATCCTCTTCATTCTTGTTAAGAGGGTGCACTAACAAAACAGACATTAGGCAAAACAAAACCATTAATTTCCCAAACATCAACAACAGACATGAGGAAAGAAGGTCATTTGACAAAAACGTAGTCCAAGTTCAACAGTTTATGCTTCCTCCTCCTCCTCCTCCTCCTCCTCCTCCTCCTCCTTTTACGAAGGTGGGACATCACGTTGAGTCCCACCAAGATAAAAGGGACCCTCCAGCCCAGGCTTCACCTGGACGGGGTATCTTTTTCAACTGTTGTGTCGATGCTCATGCAATGATTTTAGGAGTCTCAGAGGAACAAAAACACGACAAATGAAATTCAGTCAGGAGAGCCATCTACAATGGCCTAACAGATGGATGCAGAGCAGGTACGTCCAGCCTAGCTTAGTCATCTGCCTCCAATGACTTTCTCCATCAAACAATGTGTCTAGAAAGTTGCCAGTCTTTTTTTTTTTTTTAAACTGGCCCTGCTCCTGTTCCACAAATTCAGACACAGATACAGAGCAGGTGGCACATTCATCAGCACAGCGATCCATGGAAATTTTTGGATGCTGCCTTTTTCCGGCGTCAACCTGCCAATGAACCTGAGGGATATTGGTAAACAGGTTGAGACTGCAGATGGAGATGGCTTCTTGAAAGGAAAGAGAGAGAGAGAGAGAGGAGGGTTCTCCATCTTTTTTTTTCTTTCGTTTTTCCTTTCCCCTTTTTAATTTGGCCCCTTAGGTGCCGCAATCATGCAGCTGTGATCTCAGCTTTTTAAATGGATGGGTAAGTCTGGTTTAATGAAAGCATAGAATTGCTCTACAGCCAGAAGAATGCCTCCGTGTGATCGTATCAAAATAATTATGTACTGTCGGAACTGAATGCAGCTAACATGCATTTTCCGTCACAGGGCTGGCCAAACTACACGGAGAATCCAAAACAATTTATTCCAATTTACGGTTTCTCTATTGTGCGTGTTTCCCTCTTGCTATCTCTCTTAGCCCCTGTGACTTCAGTGGGAAGATTTACATTTACATTACAGGAGCATAAATAGCAAAAATCTAGTCTTTACGATTTTTGTAATGTAATGTAAGATTTACATTACGAGTGGAGAATAAATAGCAAATTCGACGGCTCCTGCTTCTGATCTGAATCTCGTCCCTTTGATCGCAAAGCCATCGCAAAGCATGAATTCAGTAGATTAAAACTGGAACATTGCATGCCGTTGTTTTTATTCCTAATTCTCTGAATTCATTTAAAACATCTTTGCCAAAAAGGTGCTAGAAGACACTGGAGAATGAATATGAACAGGGGGAGGAATTTCATTGCATCTGCCAGCATTTTGCTGAGAAATTTTAAAAAGCCTTAATTTTATGTTTGGGTTTAATTTGGGGGAATCAGAAGCTATAAAAGAACCTATGGTAGTTAAGAAAGTAATTTGCATAAAAATGGGAAGGGAGACTTACATGGTACCAAAATCGTGACTATTTTTGGTATAGCACCTAAATGTAAATGATTTTTTTGAGCTTTTTTTTTTACTTGGACATCTTTTTATATAAAAAGTATGCCAATGGATCATTCAAGAACCATGGCATAAAAGCAGCAGTCTATGATTTGGTGTGATTCAGATCTGTCTGGACTCTTCTTCCAAAATTCCCAGTGAAGAAGAGGTTGCAAATTCTCCATAGATCAACCATAATAATAAGCTCCAGCTCCAGTCTCAATCTCCAAAGGCTAGGCAAGATCTTTGTCAGAAATTCCTAGGAAATGGACAGGGCAAGGTAGAATGGCAATACCTTCTGAATGCTCACTTGATAACCTAAACTTCTCAGAATCTTCTGACCGTGTTTAACACTGTTATTTGAGACTTGACTCAATATAATGAGAATGAAGAGAGACAGTTTGGTATTGTGGTTATGGTGTTGGCCCACAAACCAGGAGATGGTGAGTTATAGTCCCACCTTAGACATGAAAGCCAGCTGGGTGACTTTGGGCCAATCCCAGGAGATGGTGAGTTCTAGTCCCACCTTAGCCCTGAAAGCCAGCTGGGTGACTTTGGGCCAATTACCAGGAGACAGTGAGTTCTAGTCCCACCTTAGCCCTGAAAGATAGCTGGGTGACTTTGGGCCAATTACCAGGAGACGGTGAGTTCTAGTCCCACCTTAGCCCTGAAAGATAGCTGGGTGACTTTGGGCCAATTACCAGGAGACGGTGAGTTCTAGTCCTGCTCTAGGCACAAAAGCTGGCTGGATGATCCAAGGCCAGTATCTCTTTTTCAGCCCAACTTACCTGGAGAAAACAGGAGGAGGAAGGAGTATTAAATATGTTCGCTGCCTTGAGTTACTTATAAAGTAATAAAGGCAGGATAAGAAAAATCTAATACATAAAAATAAATAACCAAGCTGTGTCCCTGACCACACCTGGTTTAATCCTGAATCTTCTTTTGAGTTCCGCTAAATGCAGTAGGGATGGGAGAAGCAGAGCTTCACATAATAATATTAACAATGCCCTTGACTCCATTTACAAAAAAAAGGAACCAGTGACATCTAAACAAGCAACCGCAGTGCTGTTTTACCTACAGAGAAACCAAAATCAATTAAATCAGGAGAGCTTTTAGAGGGGGCAGTTTCTCAGCCGCGGGAAGTGTGAACATCTTCAGCAGCCCCGTTTAAGCGGGGCTATTTCCACCTTGTTCTCTTTCCCGGGTTAATTATTTCACTCGGCGGAGAATGACAATGAAAATGCACCAAGCTGAGTCATTTCAGGGCAAACTCTGTGGAGGTGCAAATTTAAGCTCTTCGGAGCAAGCGGTTTTTCCCCCCCCACCCTCCCACTGTCCCTCCCACCGGCTGCTTGGAGGATCCTAATGCTGCTTCCCGTTGCCGGCAACCTGCCAGTAGATGCAAGCAATGAATCACCAGCTGTTTTTGTTGTTTTTTTTTACCTGTAATGAGTGTAAGGTGTGAGGTTTGGGATCTCCAACAATTGAGCATTCGACTCCTTCTCCACTTGGCACAGAGTTATCCACTCTTCTTCCTCTCCTATTACGCCAACCTACGGGAAGGAGAAGAGGCGGGTTTATGCATTTGGGTGGCCACACACTCAAGCAGAATGACAGAGTCGGAAGGGACCTTGGGGGCCTTCTAGTCCAACCCCCTGCTCAAGCAGGAGACTCTACACCATTTCAGACAAAACGATGTCCACTCTCTTATTAAAAACTTTCAATGATGGAGCACCCACAAGTTCTGGAGGCAAGTCGTTCCACTGACTGATTGTTCTCTCTGTCAGGAAGTTTCTCCTTAGTTCCAGGTTGCTTCTCTCCTTGATTAGTTTCCATCTGTTGCTTCTTGTCCTGCTTTCAGGTGCTTTGGAGAATAGGTTGACCTCCCCCCCTTCTTTGGGGCAGCCCCTGAGATACTGGAAGACTGCTATCATGTCACCCCTTCTTTTCACTAGGCTAGACATACCCAATTCCTGCAACCATTCTTCACATGTTTTAGTCTCCAGTTTCCTAATCATCTTTGTTGCTCTTCTCTGCACTCTTTTTAGAATCTCAACATCTTTTTTTATACCACGGCAACCAAAACTGAATGCAATACTTCTAGTGTGGTCTTACCAAGGCATTGTAAAGTGGTATTAACACTTCATTAAAGGTTCTTCCTCAATGTTTTTTCAACTCCCAATAGCAACCCAGTGTTCCTGGTAGAGTCCCTCCTATGTATTACAGTCACAAACTCAACTTGATGTTTGGATTCCCGTCACTTCATCCCTTCAAACTAATCGCACAAAGTCAGTTGGAGGAGGAATAAATGCAATCGGAGAGAGAACTACACATGCTGCTCTAAACACCTTGAAAGATGGGCAGGACACCAATGTAATATTGTAAATATACATTCAGTTTGCATCAGTGTACCAAAGGAATAGTGAAGGAGCTTAGAGTCTACAGCGGGGAGACCACAGAGAGGGGGGAAAAATCAAAAGAACTGGAACAGTGGCAACAATTTGAATGTTATCTTTGTTCAAATGTTGTCCTTCTGGAGCAACAAATGGAACTGCCTTGGCAAGCACTGAGAAGAGTTGTCCCAAGTGAGCGTTCAAACCAAAAGGCAGGTTTTTGTAATTAGAGGAGATTATTGGTATGGTCTCAAAGGGAACAGCTGACTCAGGACATGTCTGGAATGTGGAAAGATTCCTCCTTGAAAAGCCAGCTGGATGACAGGTGGTGAGTTACCTACCTATGGGGCTCAAGAGGCCATAGACAGATCTGGGGATGATCATTATGTCTAGTGCACCTGGAAATTGCCCAGAGCTGTGGCACAATAGTGACAAAGGCAGCCGAGCGCATCCCTTTCTCTCAGTAGAAATGCCTAGCAAGCATTTGGAGCTGAGCTAAATTAGTTGGCCACTAGGAAAAGGAACACACAATTCACCTCCTGAGATGGAAACAGACAGAGAATGAGAACAGAGAAAGCTTTTCCTCTAAGTTGGCAGAAGCCAAAACCTCTATTTGTGATGTGTCCCAGTTATAAGAATATCATTCTACTATCAGAAGGAGCCAAAGTGCTGTCGATGTTCTCCTTAGATATCGTTAGGTATCATTCAATGGCCAGGGCTGTTGACTTCTCTGGACCTAGGAGCTGAGCTACAATATGAGAGAAGGCATCTAGATACCGCGAGGAGGGTCTGCTAATTTTTGGGCAGTTACAGAAGTGAACCCAGAAAGATTGGAAGGAACACAGGAAGCTGTTAGGTCACTAGTTATCTAGTGTAGTATAGTCTGCACAAAGATGATCTCAGAAAAGTTTAAGAAAAAAAACCCTGAGCTTTCAATATGATGCTTTCAACCTACTACTTATAATTTATAAGGTTTCTATTTCAGCCATTGAAATTGGGCATATCTAGGCAATCAGCCTCAATGCCTGTGTTTTTCCTTTTTACAAAAGAGGCCTTAAATTGATTCAGTTGGTTTTGATTTAAAGATCAGCAAGAGCATAAAATTGTCTGAATCCCAGATTCTTTACTTACCAAGCTCTAAAGGGAGAATGACATCAAGAGGCCCACTTTATACAATGAATGAATCTTAATGGCTTTGTTGACACTGAAAATCTGTCAGGCGCGAACAACCAGTTCCACACGTGAAGAGTGCAGTTAACTATTTTTTTGCTCAAACCTTATAATATAGGAATCTTCTCAGACTGACAGTTTGCATAGGGTAAGACTAGATAAGGTTCAACAGCATTCAAGGGGGCTTGCTCTTTTGTGACTACATAAAGATTACAAGCTAATTCCCAGCTTGACTCCTCGCCCAGTCTCTCTCCATCAAAATCTAAATTTTGATGGAGAGAGACTGGGCGAGGACTCAAACTGGGAATCTATTGAAACTCACTGAGAAGTCTGTCTGTAAACTCTTAACTGTGCATTGTGGACTTGTGTGAATAACAGACTGGTCATATTTCAATGCCTTCAATGCCCAAATTGTAATGTGAATGTTGGAAATAATTTGGAAGGGATTTTGAGAAGTATTACTTCAAGTTTTGTTATCCATAGGTCCATCTCTGTGTGTTTATATATCACATACATAGATGCATATAAAATTGTGTGATGTATCAAAAGATACTTGTCTTTCGACATCCAGCTTTTCATTATTATCTCGGTTCATACGTGCAGTTGGAGGGAAATGAAAAATTAATTCTAATACATTTTAATAGACCTTTTAAGAAGCATGTCATGTAGATCCTCTGTAAATCAGGATGATGGCATTACAAGGTCAAAAACATCTTGACCTGCATGAGATAAGGCACATATAACTTCATTCTCCTTTCACATAAAGTGAAATAAAAAAGACTGAACACACTAATATTTTAAAAAAAAATAACCAAAGATTTGGAGAACCTAGTTGTTGTCATGCATGGGAAAATCAGATAGGGAAAAAAAAAGATAATGGGAAAAGTTTAGGAACATTAACAGGGATGGAGCTAACCTGACTTCGAGGCGGGGGGGGGGGGAGAATGTTCCACAACTCATTATATCAACAAACTAGAACATGATTCTGTAGATGATTTCAAGATTCATAGTTTGGCCACCTGCCCAGAAAACCTGTTAATTCATTGCAGCTGCAATTCTAGCCACAGCAACAATGGAGTAACTTGCTCCTAGAGCTCAATAGACTTTTCTTCTGAGTCATGATGTCGAGCTGGCCAAATTCCCTACCATCTCAATGACCTGCAGATTTTGATTTACGTGCCAGAAAGTTTGGTAAAGACTGTCCTTTAATATCTCCTAGAAAACCTTGAATCTGGTCGTTCTCCAAGTTATCCTCTCCAAGAGCCATCTGTCCTCCCCCAAAATGATGGACTTCATTTACTGCTGATGAAGAGGCTGCTTTCGCAAAGTCAAAAGCCATCCTTGCTCCTTCTGTTTCAAGTTAGGAGCTGGGAGGAGGGGGGGGGCAGAAGGATGGAAGCGAGCATTCACAGCCAAGCCAAAGCTGTTTCAAAGGATGCTGAAGAGAGAGGTTCATTCTGCAATGGCAGCCTTAATGATGATTGGAAAGAGACTAGGTTTCCATTGGAGGAAACCAAGCAACAGGCACCTGGGTTAATGAGAATTATCCAGCTGCCCTGTTTGGCCCAGCGAGAATTGGCTTGAAGAATAATTCCGACTTTATGTTTTCTACTTAAAGAAGAATATCAAAGTCCACAGGAACAAGCCCACCGGTGAATGGATTTCTTTCCTTTGCTTTCTTGCTTTCTCACAGATTTTTTTATAATAATAAAAATAAAGTTGGAAGGGACCCTAGAGGTCATCTAGTCCAACCCCCTGCTCAGGCAGGAAACCCTACACCATTTCAGACAAATGGCTGTCCAGTCTCTTCTTAAAAACTTCCAGTGTTGGAGCATTCACCACTTCTGGAGGCAGGTGGTTCCACTGGTTAATTGTTCTAACTGTCAGGAAGTTTCTCCTTAGTTCTAGGTTGCTTCTATCCTTGATTAGTTTCCACCCATTGCTTCTTGTCCTGCCTTCTGGCGCCTTGGAAAATAGCTTGACTGCCTCTTCTTTGGGGCAGCCCCTGAGATATTGGAAGGCTGCTATCATGTCCCCCCTCGTCCTTCTCTTCATTAAACTAGACATACCCAATTCCAGCAGCCGTTCCTTATATGCTTTAGCCTCCAATCCCCTAATCATCTTTGTTGCTCTTCTCTGTACTCTTTCTAGAGTCTCAGCATCTTTTTTGCATCGCGGTGACCAAAACCGGATGCAGTATTCCAAGTGCGGCCTTACCAAGGCCTTGTAAAGTGGTATGAATACTTCACGTGATCTTGATTCTATCCCTCTGTTCATGCAGCCCAGCACTGTGTTGGCCTTTTTGGCAACTGCTCTGTTTAACTGAGATGTTCAGAGGAGTTGCAGCATGTGCTTTGGGCCACAGGCTTAAGGGTCTGGCACCTTGTTTCAGCCCACACTCTCCTTCAGCTTTCCTGGATCCTTCTGCTCTCCAGACAGATGAATTTCTTCTCTCCAATTCTCCCTACTCCAATGCAATTATTGGGGGGTCCTTGGTGCTCCCTGAGCTTGGTTGTTTGCTTACAGACAATTCGTTACCAAACTAGCTAACATCTTCAGTGATGGTGAACTGATGGTGTTGCCCAGTTTGGTGAAGAAACGTCAGCAAGCAAGCAGCCAGTGGAACAACCTGCCTCCAGAAGCGGTGAATGCTCCAACACTGGAAGTTTTTAAGAAGAGACTGGACAGCCATTTGTCCGAAATGGTATAGTGTTTCCTGCCTGAGCAGGGGGTTGGACTAGATGACCTCCAAGGTCCCTTCCAACTTTATCATCATCATCATCATCATCATCATCATCATCATCATCATCATCATCATCATCATCATCATCATCATAAAAACCCCAGAGTTCAACCTTGAGCTGCAAATATTCTACCAGTAATACAGTTATTGCTGAGAATTTTGGGACTTGAACCACACAATCTGAAAACACAGAATTTTGGAGAAGGCCAAAAGCCGTGTTTCATAATCATATAATTTTGTGCGTTCA